TGAGGAAGTAGCTACACTAAGGTGTGCAAAGCACTCAGGGCCTGGAACATCAGAGTAACTACTCAGTAAATGTCACTGATTGCCTTTATTATCTTTAGATTTTTAAAATTAAAATTGATTCAGAGAAATATAATTATTGTATGAAAAATATGAACCTTAATTTTTATGGTTCTTGGTAGATGTCACCATATTACTCCCAGGGCTATGATCAATGTTGAAAATACCAGTTTTATCAACACACACACACACACACACACACACATATACACACTAGCTTTGGTTATTATATTATTAAAAATATGCTAATTATTAATAGGTCAATATAACACCTCAAAGATTAAAAAAAATGTTAACTGGTATTTCCTTGATCATTGAAATATTTTTCAAAAAATTTTTTAATGAAAGTTTACTGGGGTGACAATGGTGAGTAAAGTTACATAGGTTTCAGGTGTACAATTCTGTAACACATCATCTATATACCACATTGTGTGTTCACCACCCAGGTTTAATTCTCCTTCCATCACCATATATTTGATCAATGTTTGTTTTTTAATAGTAGCTCTATTTATAGTCTGTTAAATGTTCATGTCCTTTGTTTATGTATTGGGATGTTAGTCTTTTTAACCTGCTTATATAAGTTCATTATAAAATAAATACATTAACTCTTCACATATCACATTTGCTGCAAAATGTCTTTCTGAATTTGTCGTCTACAATTTTTATCATATAAAAGTTTGTTTTTGGGCCGGCTGAGTGGCGCATTGGTTAAGAGTTGGCTTGGCAGTGACACTGCCCTCTACGGCTAAGATGCTGAACAACAGCTCAACATGGAGCTGGGCTGCCATGAGTCGCCGGTGACGGCAGGTGGGTTGCCGTGGGCTACCGTGTGTAGCCAGCAGCCAGCGTGAGCGGCCAGCAGCCGCAGTGAGCGGCCGTCCAGAAGCCGGCGACTGATCTGCCTTGCCCGGGAAGAGCGCAATGATGATGCCAACTTGGGCCAGTGAAGCAACGTCCTCCACAACTAGACTGAAGAACAAAAGGACAGCAACGTGTCTGTTCCCCTTCCCCCAATTCCCCAGCACTGTCCCCTTCCCCCAATTCCCCAATAAAAATTAAAAAAAAAAAAAGAGTTGGCTTGGGACGCCAGCTCTGAGCAGCAGGGCCCTGGTTTGGATCCCACATGAGGGCCAGTGACGCTGCGCCCTCTACAGCTAAGATGGTGAACAACAGCTCGACCTGGAGCTGGGCTGCTGTGAGTTGCCGGCAGCTGGCGTGCGCTTTCATGAGCTGCTGTGAGCCACCTTGAACAGTCATCCAATGGCCGGTGAGTGACTGCCTCACCAGAGAAGAGCGCAATGATAATACTAACATGGACCAGTGAAACGACGTCCTCCACAACTAGACTGAAGAACAAAAGGACAGCAATTTGTCTTTTCCCCTTCCCTGATTCCCCAAAAATATCTTTAAAAAAAAGTTTGTTTTTATGGGATCAAATCTTTTTGACTTCTTTCTCCCATATAAACTTAAAAACGTACTCTCTTCCAGAGTTTTACTGCCTACTTAATTCTATATTCTTTTCATTTTTTTATCCTTTAATTTTTATATTGAACTCTTTGTCTGCAACTAACTTTGGTGTATGATGTCTTAACTGTGTTAGTTTTAGAATAGATTAAAATCTGGAAGGGCTACTCACCCCTCATTTATTATTTTTTCCCTAGTATTTCCTTTACTTCAAATTAAAAATTTAGAAAACCACTGTTTATTCTTCTAGATGAACAGTTATTTTGTAAAGCTCTAAAAAATTGTCTGGATTTTGATTTGGTGTTGTATTAAACCCACACACTAACTTAGAAAACATTGATGCTATTAAAATATTTAGTTCTTTCATCCAAGAACATTCCTCTCTACTTATTCAAGTCTTTTATATTCTCAGTGTGGCTTTATCTTATTTTCTTCCACATAAATCCCATGGATTTTGTCGGTTTCAAGAAACGTGTTGTAATTGAGAATGACCTCCTTTTATCATTAAAATTTTCCAACTTTATTGCTAACACATAAGAATACTATTGAGTTCTGTGGTTTTGTATCTGCTCTTTATTAACTTGAATGGATGTCCGGTTGTTCTCTTTGCATTTTAAAGGCATACAATGATATTATTAGCAAATATGGACAATTTTGTCTTTTTCAATGTTTATACTTCTTTGTTCTGTTTCTGAGCAATGTTTTGAAAGCAAATTATATGATCATGGAGGGAGGAGGGTATGTTAAATAAGTCATGGAGCAGTGCATTTAGTATTTAAAAAAATTATAGTTGACATTCAATATTATTTTATATTAGTTTCAGGAACACAGAGTATTTATAGCAGTTGGCTCTGAGTGGCAGAATTTGGTTGAATAGCTACTTTTTGTTTATTCATATTTTCTGTCTTTTTTTTAAAAGATTTTATTGGGGAATTGGGGGAGGAGAACAGCATTGGGGAATCGGGGGAGGGGAACAGAAAAGTTGCTGTCCTTTTTTTGTTCAGTCTAGTTGTGGAGGATGTCGCTTCACTGGCCCATGTTGGCACCATCATTGCACTCTTCCTGGATGAGGCAGGTCGGTCGCCGGCCTCTGGACGGCTACTCACAGCCACTCTTGGCAGCTCACACTGGCTGCCGGCTGCTCACGCTGGCTGCTGGCCACTCACGGTAGCTTATGGCAGCCCACTGCAGCAGGGGCTGCAGCCTATGCCGTCGCCAGCGACTCATATCAGCCCAGCTCCAGGTTGAGCTGCTGCTCACCATCTTAGCTGTAGAGGGCAGTGTCACTGGCCCTCATGTGGGATCCGAACCAGGGCTCTGCTGCTCAGAGCTGGTGTCCTAAGCCAGCTCTTAACCAACGTGCTACTTGGCTGGCCCTATTCGTGTTTTCTAATCACTCGATGAAGATCATGTATTATTTAGGTAATTTAAAAGATAATGGCATTTTAATGCCTTTATTGTGTCATTTTTTGGTGGATTATGTTGGCTGTGGGTTAGAATGGCTATCCTTTATCTGTTAGGATATTTTCTATCTTATTTTTAAGAGTTTTTGTTTGTTTTAAAATTAGAATTGGATGTTGATGTTTGTCAATTTTTCTTTTGGCTACTGTGAAGATGGTCATATGGTTTTACTTTTTTGTAATGGAAGTCTATTTTATATACAGTAAAACCTTGGATTGTGAGTAACTTGGTTTACAAGTGTTCCGCAAGACGAGCAAACATTTCGAATACATTTTAACGTGGTAAACGAGCAATGTCTTGCAATATGAGTAGTTTGTTTCTGGAATGAATTATACTTGCGAACCAAAGTATTACTGTACAGTAAAATGCACAGATCTTAGGTGTTCAATTTGATGTGTTTAGACAGTTGTATATACACATGTAACCACCCCCCCAAAGAACAAATGGAATATTTCTACCATCCCAGAAAGTTCTAGAGGAAGTTCTGTGGTAAGGTGTTGATTTGTGTGACTGAGTCTCCACCACCAACCTCGTGCACAGTCTTGATTCCCCCATCTCCACCCTCAATTTAGCATCTCAAGGGCCTGGAGCCACATGGGAGGTCCCAACAGGGTGTCCACTCTCAAGTTATTCATGAAACCCTGCTGGTGGCAGAAGGGAGGCAGATCCTCTGCAGGGCAAGTGGCCATGGGGAGTGGGAGATAAAGCTGTCTTCTGGGATGCGAATAGGGCAATGGCAAAACTGTTTCTGGGTACCACAACCTGAAAGGTTAAGATGGAGGAGGAGTGTAGAGAGCAGGTGAGGTGGGTGCAGGATCCCAAACACTGCCATAACCATGGGATTTTGGCTGTAGGCCCCATCTCTTGTGCTCATTGTTTGATGCCACCTTCTGGAACATTCTCTCCTGGAGTTGCTAGCTTGCACTACTACATTGTCCTTTAGGGAGCTTGCTACCTCAGGACACTTAAAGTTATTACCCTCGGTAACCTTGAACTCAAGGTCACTGTCTATTACCCCGCACCAATTTCATTGCATTCCTGCAGATTCCCAGTCTCTGTGGCAGTAGTTCATGGAATGGTACCTAGTGTTATTTATTCAGCTTATCATATTACAGTAAACTGGGAAAAATACAGAAATACATGTTTCTATTTATTTCTACCTGCTTAATATTGGCATGCTAGGTGTGTTTTCAATGCCATGAAGTGTAGAAAACGAGCTTCACGGTAGCGTGATGCCTTTGATGCTCTCTACATGGAGGGTCAGAAGTCTGCAGAAAGATGACTTGGGATTCTCTAAATCAGAAGGCCGGGGGTTCAATTTCTTATGTCCGAATGTGATCTAGACTCTCCTATATATTTTCGGTGGGGTGAAGTTTACTTGGGTAAAGCAATTAATTGCTCCTAGTTCGTTTTCTTAATATGGGTCTTCTTAGTGTGAGCCGTAAGCACATTTGGGCCAGACTATCATTGGGGGTGTGCGTGTTTGGGCACATGCAAGAGTGGGTGTCTGAAGCCACCACTGTTCTTTGCTTCGGCAGAGCCTAGCGCAAGGGCAGGGGAGGGAGGGTGTAAAGTAGGTCATTGAGGCACGTGAGGGGCCGCATCCCAGACTTCAGCCAGAGACCAAAGCAAACCGCCCAACACCAAGGGCAGCAGGCTTCCTCCCAAGGCTTTCTATGCAAGTGTCAAACAGAGGACATGTTTTCCATGCTGGGCGCCTATACCACTCAAATCAATTTAGACTTCTATTTCTAGGAGCTGTCACTACTAGGATTTTTTTTAAACCGGAAGCTTCTTTAAATCTGCATCCAAATGCAAGCAACTAAAATTGAACAGCTCTCGGGGCACTGTCTGCACCAGCCATGCTGAAGATGGAGACTACCTGGGTGGACCCTGGGAGCCTGGGAGCTGCCGTCTGCCCCTGGTCTTTGTGGGAGCAAGAGGAACTCCCTCTCCCTCTAAACCTCGTGTGGTTTGTCCCCAAGTTGTTTGGCTTGCAATCTGAGGAGAGAACCGCCTTTTCGTGTTTTATACATTTTATTCATACATTTCTCCAACTTTGAAATGACAAAAGCCCAATTCTATGTTTTCCCATTACACAGCATCCTACAAGTATGTATATTCTACAAGGAATACTATGGAGTTTCTCTTCCTCCCCTGTCACACAAGAGATAACTGATTAGGGTTCCATCGACTTGTACTGGACTGGCAGTGCACCAGCGTTCTGGTAGTTCTGACGACAGGGCAAAGGGATCAGGGCGGGAGGGCGTGTGCTAAGGCATGTAAATAGATACGCACAGAGAGAAAGAAAAGCGGGACATTTACAGAGAATCCGAACCTTTCCGATCCCTTCACCTCCTGGGTGTTGACGGACACCTCCTGCACAAACGCACTTGCACGCTAAGGCTTTGCTGTACCCTGCAAATACTTACAATTGGATACGGTGAAATATACAACAACCATTAACATCGCTCTCTTTTTATCACTGAGACAATACTTCAAAACCTTTTATAAAAAGGCAATTATACATACAGAAAAAAGAACACGTTGCCAAAACTTTATGCAAAACAACCCCAGAACTGAGTTTGAATGGCGATGCGCCTGCATTGCAATTAAACGTGATGCTCTGGTCTGAACACGTGAGGCTGTGTGGCCTTCGCATCAGGAACCCTGCCTGCTGCCCCTGCAGCTTTCTCATCCGCCTGCATGGGTGCCACTCCAGGACACAGCTGAGACTGGAAATCAATTCCCCGAATTCTTTGTCTCTTCAAAATGAAAACAATAAGTGGGGCCACTCACCGTGGAGGAACGCCAATTTCTACTCCCAAGCAGAACTCCTTTTAAGAGATTGCACATCCTCTGGGTCCCAAGACAGTCACCGCCAGACCTCTATTGGTGAGAACCCTGACACGTTCCCTGGACCACGCGTCAGAGAGAATGGAGCTAACCCATAAGTGGCAGCGAAGTTCCGAGTTTCTGGGCATACAGATATGGAGTTGTGCTTGGGGCCAGAAATGAGGTCTCCTGTGTGGTGACAAACATCTCTTTCCATTTTCTTTTGCTTGGTCCATTTGCACAGGTTCAAGAGAGTTGATGGAGGATCAGGTGAGAGGTGGTGGGAGCTCTGGCTTTTCAACTCTCCCCCGAAGAGCTAAGACTTGGCAGTGCCTGTCCTAGAGATGTCACGGCCCTCCTTCTTCTCCTCTCTCTGTGGGCCGGGTCTGCCCACCTTCTGCAGCCCAAGAGTGGCAGAGAAAAGACCAGATAAAAGGGATGTGGACTGATGAACATACACTCCTCCCTATCTTCCACTTCCTGGACGCATGTCACAGCTAAACTTCACTAAGCTGGAAGACCTGAGACTTCCAACTGCTCCAGGTTTAAGGCAAACTGATATGGGAGTGTGGGCAAAACCAATCAAGCGTTAAGCCTTACAAACATAGTCCTGTAACCGAAGACACCAAATGGAGAGGAAATCCTTACTTCGAAAGGTGTAAGAAGAGGAAAAGTTCTACCAAGTGAAATGATTCATGATTAAAGCTTGTAGCCCTTGTGTAAACAGCAGGGAGAAGCAAAATATCCTTCTAAGAGGAGAATTAATTAAGAGGCGCAGAGCAAGAGAAAAGCGCACAGGGACCTTGAACCTATGACGTGCCGTAATCAGCCTCAGTATCATAAGCCCTTGTAAAGAGGATGGAATTAGGAGGCTGTGTTCAGTTCTGGAACAACCACCCCCCTTCCCCTGCTGTGCAACACACACACACACACACACACACACACACGCATGCACGCGTGCGCGTGCCAGTTTGATGGTAGGAAACAAGTAGGAGGGATGAGAACCTTAAGGGGCTTGTTTTGGAAAGCCAATTGCAAGGTGCCTTCTCCTCTTTCCAAGGAGATAGCATGGGAGGCATTCTAATTAAGAATTTATTAGTCAAGAAAATTTCTGGCTAGCTTTAGCAGCATGTTTTCTCTGCACCAAGTTTAGAGACTGACCTGAAATGAAGAAAAGGACATCACATTAGTGGGAGACAAGAGAGTTTGCTTTGGGCCACCTGTCCTTAAGGGGCAGTGTCCACTCTGGGCATCTCTCCTGTCAGTTTCCCCGAGTGTGGCTCAAATGGCTACACTTTTTCAAGGAATGAACTCGAAGCCTTAATGAACAGATAAGTACAAGAGATTTAAAAACAAACAAAAACCCTCCTCTGCAGTAATGAGATAAAGGGATTTAAAAAGACAATCGGAGCACTGAGTGGAGGCCCGACTGATTGGCCCCAGCAGTGGGAGATGGAATTGGACCTGGGGAAGAGGACCACTTACTGCCTCCTTTGTGCAGTGAGAGCTTGACAGCATTGTTAGCTACTCCGCCACCAATAGGATGGGCTTGGAAGAGGCCTCCTGAATGCAAAAAGCAAGAAGTAGGTCATCCATTCTTTTCCTCTCTGAGCAAATATTTTAAACCATCTCACCTGACAGGAGATACATTTAATTGCATTTTAAGGGCTACCACGTTATTTTGACACTGGGAAACTTCCAGGTGAACTGAGTGACATTTTCCTTTTCAGTGTTAAAATGGAACATAATGCATGTGCAAAATAATTACTGCTTTATGACTAGAAAATCAGGACATTTCGTCTTTTAAAGAATTCAACATATTAAAGACACCCCCTTTTTGCTGTGGGGAGTGGGATTGGGGTGGGGTTGAGAACCCTCAGGATATGCCTCATTTGACCAGTGATAAGATTTAATAGCCTAATCATTTGCTCTGGTATTTAAAAGGAAAAAAGATGATTTTGCTGATAGAATAGAAGCAATAAAGAAGCTTTTCAGCATTTTCCTGATTGCTTAGTGGACAACTGTAATGTAGAGGCAGCAGCAATGTACTGAAATTACTTCAAATTCAGATATTTAAGTATTTTCTGCTAGGCCATAAACACACTGCCTTAGAGAAGATGTGCATTAGTGGAATGGAACAGATGACCTCTTAGAGAAGTCAGAGAGAAGGAATTCTGGGTGCAGGAGTTCTGCCATCTGCACAATGGCAGGAACAATGCCTGCCTGCGTGCTTCCCCAGGGACGCATAAAGCGATGGAGAAGCAAGGACTGGTGCTGCAATGCTTCTCGATTCGACCGGTGCTGCAATGCTTCTCAATTCTAGGGCCACAGATTTAATTTGGCATTGCTCTTCTCTTTCTTTTCTTGATCCACGTTTATCAACATGGCAGATGGCTTAAGCCAGGCACCCTCAGCATCTCTGGAGATTTGGTCTAAAAGGGCAAGTGGGGGTGTGGGGGTTTCTACTAGAGGGAGGGAATTTCTGTCCCCCAAGTATTAGCTGTGTTCTTCTTTGTGCTTCATTGGAAAAGAGGTAGAGCAAGCCCTTTCACACTGAGAAGAGCCCTGATTGTGGTCAGTTACCATCATGGGGATGACTACCTGGCCTTGGCATTAGTTAAATTTGAATCCATCCTAACACAGCCCTAAACAACTCTTGGGGGTTTCTCTCTCCATCCAGGGTGTCTCGGGTTTGGTGGTTTGGCCACCCTGCTGTGGAGCCCCAACAGAAGCAGTTCACTCAACATCTTGTTAGTAAGTTGCAGACTCATCTGGTCACTGACAAAGGACAACATCAGAGGAAAAAAATCAGCACTGTTTAATAAGAGTAGATGTTGAGGGGATGACACCATTTAAAGAGTACACAAATGTCTTCTCTGTATGGTCCTTCAAGAGGAGCTGTTCAGCTCAGAACACACCCTGCACATCCTGCCAAGGCACAAAGCGACGAGGCCATCTAACTGACAAGAAGCAAACACGTTGGTATTTTTTCAAGGATCACAGGTTAATAGAACCACTGCACACACCCTGATACTCTAATGGAAATCCTTCCACTGACCTCTGGCAAAGAGTCAGAAAACCCCCAGCCTGAATCTCCTATATTGGAAGGATGTGACCTCATGGACGGGTGATGAGATGGTTCATGTCTCTAAAGCAACAAGGAAAGATGATTCTCCTGTGCCAAGGGATATAGCAAGAGAAGGAGAAACCACAGATGGCCTTTAGTGTACTGGTGGCCCTTGGGGGCATTGCATGTGCTCTGGGAGCCAGGCATGGTCTGAGCTGTGCTCTGGCAGAGTATTTTGTTGTCCTGCCAACTGATAGTCACTCCTGGGCCTTCGATGGTTCAATGAGCATCTAGTGGATTATAAAATCTAAAAGATTATCGGCTTGTGAATCTGAACAAATCTAAAATGAAATGAAGGACCCAAAGGCATTTAATTATTGAACACATAAAAGGAAGTGTATTTAAAAAAAATTGGTCAAACTGTCCTGTTATCATTTTAAAGGAATTTACAGGGCTGTTATAGATTATTCTTTTGGAATAATTCAGTTTATAGCAAATGCCTAAACTGGTTTCTTCATTGCACAGTATATTCTTTTAAAATGGGTGCTTTAAAACAATTACATATGTATTAAAAATCCTCATTTCTTTGCTTAATTAAAACGTTAGTACTCTCAGACAACACAGATCTGAAATGGTGAAACCAGCAATTCCCCCTCCCACCTTACAACAAATTAAATTGAGACAAAATTACAAACACATTTCACTACATGATTATTATTAATAAAAATCATTTTTTTATAAAGTTGCCCAAAATGCAAGGGATGTGCATAGGTTTACAACTTAGTCATAATAGCATTTGATTCTTATTCCCCTGGGTGTGCCCCGTGAACGGAATGTACTTGGCTGTAGATTACAGATCGTTTTGTCCAACACAGACACACCGACGGCATAAACGCTCGCGACTGTCCACATGCATTAAGAGTCAAGACCCAACTTCAAATCTCTAAAAGGTTTACAGGGTGCTTCAAAGAGACAGTATCACATTATCTGGATGTTACATAAAGGACTTAAAAAAAAATACTATTCTAAAAAAAAAGAGAGAGAGAAAAAAGGCCTTTAAAAATTTATGACTGTTTTGTAATCACTAGACTGATTATTTAAAATAAATAAAGGAAAGAAAGATATTCCAATCCATAAAATCAGACTCTAAAAAGAATGTAGTGTTCCACCCCCAGTCAAGGTAACAGAATCATTGTTTATTATTATTAAAATAGATTATAGAAAGCAGCATCTATTTTGTGCAGTTTTTAGGGGCCTTGGAAATAAAAAGCTATGATTTCCAAAAATATAACATTCCAAAGGATTGAATAATACATACATTTAAAGATACATTTTATTAAAGTTTAGGAGAACTGATTAAAAAAGATACTGTCTCTTTAAATTAGTGTGTAATTGTATTTCTCCTCCTACCTATTCGGACATGACAATAATTATAAATGTAGGTCACACTACAACTAGGTAGTCTCTAGGGACCACGACCTGCTGACACAAGGCCGATAACAAAGAGGCGTTTCCATGTATGAGGTGGCTCCCAGTTATGTGTCAGATATCTGGGGCGAGGCCTAATAGACCCAGGAGACTGGGACCCACTGCGGGGCTGTGCACACGAGCTCGACAGCTTCCTCCAGATGTCTGATTGTCTCATCAATTTCATTGTTGATAATTGTGAGATCGAAGTAGTGTGCATATGTTCTCTGTAAGATATCAGACTCCTTCTGCAGACGCTGAAGAGATTCATCCTAAATGGTGATGGGAGGGAGGTAGGGGTGGGCATTGGAGAAGGGAAAAGCAAAGAGAAGAAAGAAGTCAGCTGGATTCTTCCTCTTTTCACATTTCTGTTCGTCCCAGTGTCAGAAACAGTCAAGGCCAGACCGTGATGTGCCGCATGTGGGCATGAGGCCAAGTCCACTTCGTGACAGAGGAGACGACAGTGCCCGGGATGGCAGGGTTACAGAACTACTGCTTGCAACCCGGACTGCTCACCATGCAACAGGGGACTCCACACCAAACCGGACAGACCAGAGAAAACACACACTCTTCAGTAAACACATTGCCTCACTGGGTCTAGCTGTGCTCATCCCGGGGTCAGTTGGGGACTGACTAGCATAGCCCCAGCTGTTCTGTCCTCATTCCTCTAAGCCAGGCCTGCCTCATCTGGAACCACTCTCCCATTTGGCGTTTGGCGGGAGGGCTTTGGTGGTGAGGTCAGAGCCCTACCTCTGCCTTCCCTTGGTCCTCCGCACTCACTTGAACTGGGCCCCAGAGTCCAGCTGCATTTGCACCAAGAAGCCCCGGCCTCCGGACAACGAATTAAGTTACATTTTTCTCTTTTCTATTTAGAGGTTCAACATGTTCCAGGAATTCAATTACATATAACGGCCCTCACTCAATAGCAGTGGATGCCAGAGGCAAAAAGCTTTTTGGATGTTACAAATAATGGATGAAATAAGGCCATTTCCCAGATACAGCAGCAACTGGCATCTGAAGAATCCCCTCAAATTGGTCTGTGTTGGAAATGGCCAAATGTCACTGTTCATAAAAGCCCACACCTCTCAGGGAAAACACTCCAAAAAAAAGCAGCCACTGAGCTCTAGGGAGCTTTGCTGTAGTAAAGGACTTTCCTTAGCTCCCATAGCTGGCTACAGATTTTGAGAACTTTCACCAGTGTGAGCGCACAGTAGGAGGAAATTCCAGGTCCCTAGTTTGTCATGTGAGTCTAACTTTAGCCTCAGGCTAGCAGTTAAGTCTGTCTGCATTTTTACAGGTCAGATCTTGTTATGCTGAACTTTCAATGGACAAGTTCAAATTTGAAACCAGGGAACTTTGTAAGTCAAATTAACTGCCCCCCTATCCCCCAACACTAGGTAGGTGAGCTATTGGGCTGAGTCTTAAATATATATAGGTACAATTAAATACCTGTTTATTTGATTAATATCTCTCTCCTTAAACAGACCGTAAGCTTGTCTTGTGTGCCCGGTCTTTGCTGTGCCCAGCACTTGGCATTATGCCTTGCACACAGTAAGTGCTTAATAAAATGTTACTGAAAAAGAAGCACTTGGCTGACTAATACCGGCCATTACAGGATTTGACGAGTGTTAAATCTATAATCAAGAGACAGGGCAATTCTACTAGGAAATTCTACTAGGGGGCCCATGATGACAAGAGATGGATCTCCAGAAAAACTAAAAGATGGGGTGCTTTCAGGGACTCGGGAGCCATGGCGCCCAGCGCTGGCTTAGGACCCTCCTCGTCTCTGAGGCCCATCTGTTATTTGTAAGAGGCTCTTTCTGGTGTGCCTGTGGGTAAAGCTCTCTGGAAGGGGGAATCCAAAATGACACTCAATTGATTCCAACATGGCACTGAAGTGGGGATGGACAGACACCAGGGAAGTTGGGAACTCAATGAAAGTGTCCTACCTGTTTTGACATCTCCTAGCGGAATTTCAAAGCAGGACATTGCATGCTTTGAATGTTAGGTGATAGCTACTACAGTGTCGATAAGGCCTCAGTTACTCCTCACTGTCTAAGGTCATATCAATACATTTTCTTCTTGCACTTAAAAAGCATAGTATTTTCACTGTGGCTTTACAATAAACACAATGCCAAAGCCGCACTTTAGGAAACATGCATTCACCCAAAGACAGGAGTGCGCCCTACCAGTATGAGAAGGCACAGTTCCTACCATGTTACTCTCTGGGCTAGGGGATTCTACTGAAATATTTAGTCCTGGGCTTCAAAAACCACTGGGAGAGTTTATGATTTGCTCAGAAAGCTGGGCTGATGAAAACATTCAAGAATATTTATGGCTGAAAGCATCCAATTTTTAATGTAATTCTCTTTACAGAAAAATAAAGCTCCCTCTTAAGGATTTTATAAGATGAAGCTATATTTGTCACAGTTTCTTCCTCGACAACAGCTTGTCTGTGGGCTTGACTTACACGTGAGCAGGATTTAACTCAGTGAAAACAAAATGCCTTCATTCTAACAGCAAAAGCAAGGATTTGTGGTAACAAAATGTCTACATTCTAAATCTATGAAAGTAAATAAGGGTGTATTTCATCACCTCCTAGCTGGTACTTACAGGCAATTTTCTGCACCATTTTGGCAGCTATGGAAAATTAGTAAAAAGGGCAGGAAAACAGGCAAAAAAAGAAAACAAACAAAAAAAAACAAAGCAAAGATGATAATTCAAGAAAAATACATGGCAACCAAAGGATAAGAGCTAACCATAATGTGGAGTTTCAAACATGTTTGCATATTAAATAAGATAAAAAAATAGAATTTACAGAGGAATACCCCTTTTGCACATGAAACGACAAAAATAATGGCTGAAAATATAAGTAATGTAGATATCTAAATATTTAATCTTCCTTAAAGGTACACAAAGTGAAAATTTCCAAACCTTCATTTTATTGTCATAAGCTCGGACATTTAGGGCCATGTTTACCACAGAAGTAATGGTCTTCAGGATAACTTGCGTAGGAGTGTCTTCCTAGAGCAGGTAGGCACCAAGCACCAATACACACCATAACTACCTTCTTATCTGCCCAGCAAGAGAAGGCCTTCTAAGTCAGCCTGGTAGAAGATGTGTGCAGCCAACTCTCGCAGTCACCATCTCTGTGGCAGGTACTGACTTAAGTTGGCCTAATAGGGGACAGAGCTTATTCCTAGGCTTGGTAGTTTCCAGGGGCCCAGACAGAAATTCTGCATGGGTTTCCACTCCACAGGCTGCATAGGGGCACCCGGGAAGCCCTGCCAAGGTCCTGGATTCCTTAATAGCTCGCTTCAGGGAGAGCAATCCTTGACCCAGAGCTGGGCTTGGGGCTGCCACTTTCTTAGCAGTCCCTATCAGGAGAGGAGTGGGCTGGCGGCCCTGGAGGGTGGGAGCTGCCAGGAAAGCCTCTGCCCTGGCGGGCTGAGGGTCTTTAAACTCTGACTTTAAAAGTAGACTTACTGATTAGGCTGTCACAGGCTGACTGTGCTGGGGACTAAGGTTTGAATCTGTCTAATGCCTCTGATCTCAGAAGAACCACACCTCTCTCTATAGCTTAACTTCTAATACTGAAAGAGGACCTCAAACTCTGGAGATCTTAATGGCCAGCATCAAGCACAAGGCGGAACTTCACTTAGTTGTCTCAGTGAGGTGGGGCTTTGGTCTTGAATGTACAACGCAAATGGATCCTGACTATGGGTAGGTGTGCTTATTTGGGGAGAAACTGATCAATTCTTACCTCATTCAAACCTGGAGTAATAGTTGGTGCGGCAATAAAAACAACAAAAGGAGCAAACTCGGCAGTTCTCAGGACCTTCAGTGCCTGTGCAGAAAAAAAAAATTTGAGACTTAGAGGAAATAAGTAATGTAACTTTTAAATGAGTCTACAAAAAAAATGACACAACTGAAAAAGCCCTTGATTCAAATTTTTGGCAAGGTAGTCTTAAATTTACCAACTTTATAAATGACTTACATTACTCCTTTTCTTCCAAAGGATAAACAATAGCCATCGGCAAATAAAAGGTGACAAACTGGACATTTTTCTTATGCATCTCATGAATCAATCTGACTTATTTTTCTTCAGAAAAGTTAACACTGATTATGTTGGTTAATGTTCATTTAAACCTGGTTATTAACTGTAGCCTGAATTTCATTTTGTAGGAAATGCATTTTGGGATAGATTGGGACCAGCAGGCTGGCTTATCACCAATCTAGAGCCCATTTCGCATTTCAAATTTCAAATTGTTAACAAGGACTGGGAAATCCTGGCCACTGTTACTGTGAAGCTGTGTTCACAGCTTATGAGTTGCCCTGATGAAAGAGCCCTGTGGGCTCACAGGGAAGGGAGACCCAGTCCAAGGCTGGAGTCTGGCGCCACTAAAGGAGCTGTGTGGCTGTGGGCAACTCATAGGCCCAACAGAAGACACTGCACTCAAGGGAGCGTGACCTCTGAAGGCCCTTTCAGTTTCCTTCTCAGGCATCAAAACCCTCTAACTGCAAGCTACAAGTTTGCATGCACATAGTGCAAAGCTGACATCTGATGGAGTAACAGTTGATTCCGGTAAGGGATTCCTACTTCAGCTCCTGCCCACGAGGACATGACGCTCCTAGAGGTTACAAACTCCTCTCTATGGAACAAATCTCAACATACACAGGCACACCATTCACAAGTGACTGACATAATTTATATGTGTCGGGGTAAAAATCTTGCTGTCCTTTATACAAAAATTTAACGTGTCTGTCTATTCTGTTATCCACATGTTTTGCTTTCTAAATGGCCTTTCAACTGTTTGCTCTGCCGTATTCCTATTCCTCCCTTTTTGGCCTGGCTTTCTGCAGTAGCAATTAGACCAGTCGCTCTGCCTCCAGTCTTGCTGCGTTCCAATCCATACAAAATCGTGCCACTAGAATAATCTTTCAGAAACGCAAATCCCAACGTATCCACTCCTCTGCTTCAAACCCTTCAACAGCTCCCTCTTGGCCCTGTGATAAAAAGCGCAGTCCTTAGCATAATGGCAGATCCTTCTCTCAGGAGCTGACTCAGGCTTACCTAGTCAGCCTCTCTCTGTTCTCCATGCACTGGCCTTGCTGAACTACTTTCAGTTTCAGGAAGGGCCAAACTCTCTGTGGCTTCCTGGCCCTTTTCCTTACAACTCCCTCTGCCTGGACCCTCCATGCCCTCGTCCCTCCAACCACTCTCCCTTTAGCTTGGCTGAGTGTTTACTCAACAGAGTATTGATGTTCTTTTCTCTGGAAAGTCCTGTGTGAACTCTGAGCTGAGGTCAGGCGCCCCCTCCACATGCTCCTGACACACTAGCACATATGAACCTATAGTACTCATCACACTGGGAACGCAAGTGCCGGCTACTGGAGCGTAAGCCTCTTGAAGGCGGGGACTGCACCTTGCTCAGTTGTCTCCCTCATGCCACAAATGGCACCTGGCATAAACTGTCTTTCTGAGAAAATGATAATGTAAGGCAGTACCTATCATTTGCACAAAATCTATTTTGCCTTTTGAAGCAGGTTTGACTAGAGGGCACTATGCTTTCATGGCTGAAGGGACTCTCTTGACCTCTATGAATATACAGGCATATGAGAGGCAAATTGGATAAGAAAGGTTTTGACTTCTTGTGTGTGTGTGTGTGCAAGTTCACTTTCATTAAGATTACATTTCTGAATTTTAGTTGCACAGTATCTCCTTATGGGTTAAGGGAACCTGGCACCTTGTTTTACCTGTCCATCAAAGCACTTTAAGTGTGCAAGTCATGGGCTCAGATTCCTCTTGTGAGAAAGCTCTTCAATCTTGCATAGTTTACGTTTGAAAAGGTCATTGGCAATCTCTTCGCCAATCATTTTGTGACTGAAGACTTTAGCAAGGAACAAACATGAAAAAGTCCATGTATAGCTCAACCGAGCTTAACAAGGGATCTTCCCTTAGAAACATCTTTTGTCAATATTATCTTCAGCCTTTTCCTCTGTCCTTCCTGTGCTTGTAAATCAGGCGATTATAGGTCAGTTGAGACATATGGTTCCTCATCACCTCACACCCACCCACAGCCAGCTTCTGGGCAACTGAGATGGGAAAAGAATTCCTAATGCACAGTTCCTACCCTTGCTTCCATCCCTGAAACTACTCCGAGTGCCAGATGGAACGCCACAGAGCCTAGATGCTGAATGGAACCCACGGATAAGGTTGAGAATGACACCTTAGGCATGAAATGGTTTTTTTCTCTGCTCAGTGTTCGTAGCCTGATAGCCACCCAATTGTCTGAATATTTTAAGTTCTAGCCTGCTACCATATTGCAACACCAGAAAACACACTACTCAGAAAACAGTAGCTCCCTGCAGATTACCCTTGTCTGTACTGCATGCACATCCTTTGTCTCTACCCATAAAGACATGAAGGTCATTCCTCACTTACTGCATGAAACTGTCAATGAAGACTACTCATCACACTGCCAAATGGCTCTTGTGCCTAAGAATCAGGTTATAGTCCTTTAGCAATTAATTCCAAGAAAAGAACTGGCATACTTCTATTAGATGAGAATTACACGATCCATGACATTCCCCCTTTTGTCCTGGTTGCCAGGAAGTTTAGAGCTACATTTCATGTTTACCACAGTAACTACTGTAGTGTCTGTGGCTAGCACATTTGCTTCCTCTTCCTTTTCATGGCTTTCATTTTCTATTTCTGTCCCATATTATTATATTTTCAAAAATTATAAGATGCCTCAAATCCTGACTGAGATTTTCTTGTCTAGTTACCCTTATGTCTTCAGTGGAATTACCACATTTTTCCTCAGCTGTTCTTGAAATTCTCTGTCCTCATCCTCTGCTTTACCTATGGGTTTCAAACGGGTGCCATTTTTTGTGCAGTCTCAGCTTGCCTGCGGTTCATAGTTACTTCAGGGACAGGAAATGGAACTGCTTCACAATGATTTCCCTCCCTTAGGCCGTTAATGTGTGAGTTTAAGATGATCTCTAAACGCTTTTCCTTTCTGACTTAAGAGGAGACACAAATTTGTTAATATCCACAGGTAAATATCTCTTTTCTGAGCAGGGAGAATCTAGAAAGATCACTGAAAATACACTGGATTCAAACAGCCAAAGTAACATTAATTTAACACTTAAAGTTAATTCTTTAGTTCTCTTTTGGGGAGATAAATTGATTTTATGTTTCATCTGTGGTCCATAATTAATCTCAGGTTACCATCCTCAAGGAATAAAAACCCACTTGACCAAGCATCTAAGATGCAGATAACTTGAAGACTTATTTGGTTTGCAAACTTAAAAAGTACATAATGGCAAGCACCTGAGTCATGTTGTACAAAAATCTAAGGGTTTAAGGAAAAGCACAGTGACCCCAGAAACAATCTTAAGAGAGTCAACTGATTTCACAGCCTGGTCCAGAACCTGGCTGTTGTTTGGAGTACAGATTCCTAACAAGGCTGCAGCTACATCTTGATGACAACCTTTCCCTTTGTGGGCAAAAGCAAGACCACAGATATTCTGCTACTCTTAACTTTTTAATGCAACAAATGGATAAATCGGAATAAAATTAAAATTTCAAACCATCACAGCAAGTTTTGATTACACACTAGAGCTATTAGTTTCAGCTGTAGGGACATAGATTATTTTCTGAGCCATGACCTTGTTTCCGTGAGAAATAAGTTCCCTAGTTTTTCTCAGGTTTGACTACCTTCTAGAGTTTTCTAACTATAAACAACCAAATAAACAGACCCAGATTTAAATTGTGCTACTACATACAAGTGGACCAGCTTAAGGAGTCTCAGGGTTCACTCTTCTAGGATGACACAGTGGAACGAGGCAGGGATTTATTGTAAAAAAAATGAAAACCCAAACTAACACTGTTTAAGTTCAAACCTCATTTTCAATTGGCTGTAAAACCTTGGTCAAGTCGTAATTACGTTAAGCCTTGGTTTCTTCATCTACAAAAGTAGATACTGATATCTCTATCTTAGGGTTATAAGGGTTAGGTAATGAGTTGTAATGCTTGGTGAAATATAGAGCACTATAGGAACACAATCTATTATTATTTTTAAAAGCCAGGTTACAAATTTTCTTTTAGCTTAATGTCTTATCATGGTCCTCTAGGTTTAAAGTTGGACCACAATGTCTTATCATACAGTATTATTAGACATGTGTTCAATTTGGCCTGAACTGTCTAAAACAAGATGGCACAAAATATTGACCTGAACTAAACGAGCTGAATGCTAGTGTCAGGTGGTCTTTCTATGCTCCATACATAGTGGAAGTAGTGTCAGCAGTGGTAGAAATGAAAGGGTTTTAAAAAATGCCACATGGCATTTCTCCCATTATGGACAGTTTGTGATGTACATACAGGAAGGAATTTCATCCTCACCAGCTTGCCTTCTTATGTGTATTGTTAGCTCCTGGCTCAATGCTTGGAATATAGTAAGTGCTGAATACAAGCTGGTTGAATCAAACTGTCCATGAGATACAGTAGAGGGGGTAACCTAAGGCTGGGGCAGGGGAAAAGGGTGCAGAGAAAAATGTCCTAAGGAGAGAGCCTCCCTGGAGCAACGAGGCTCTGCGTGACAGCAAGTCGGTCATGGCCACGGGCATCCCGAAGGCAGGAGACGGGCCTCGCCGAGCCTGGGGAGAGAGTGGGCTAAAGGCAGAGAAGCCCCCGGGTGAAGCCCAGTAGGTGCAGACCCCGTGGGCATCTACAGCTGTACTGATGGACACAACGGTCAGTGTGAGAGCATGGCCGGGGCATGAGTCTAGACAGGGCATGTGTGGCCCCGAGCGGGAGAGCCTGGGGCCAGGGTGGTCAACCAGGCCAAGGAGAGGAGCGGGACCTGAGTGATCCCTGTCCCTAGGGCCACAGGCCCAGAGAGGCCCAGGCAGAGAACAGGGTGCCTATGGCCTGCCGTCAGGGGTGGGTGGCCCTGAGAGATCACGGTTCTGAGAGGTGGGGACACAGGAAGCAGGAGAGAAGAATGCAGTGAGCTCATCCAGCAGTCACGGGGAGCAGGGAGAGTGCCCAGCCCAGGGCGAGGGGTGTTGTGGTGCCCAGTGCCACACGTAAAAGTGACTGCTGTGGACGTCTTGATAAGGCTGAGAGAGGTGTCTCCCGCTCAGCAGTGCAGAGCAATGCATGACTGCAAGGGCAAGGGCACAGGGAGAGCTGGACGCTCGGAGTGGAGCGGCGGCGACAGCAACAGCAGCAGCAGTGGAGGTGGCAGCAGCGGCAGCAGCAGCAGGTAAGGCAGAAAGCCCTTGCAAGTGGACTTAGGTAATGCAGAGGGGGTCTGAGGAGCCCTGCAGCCAGCATACTGCTAGAGACATTACTACCAGCAGAAAACGACGTTCAGGTGAAGACCAGTGTGGAACCCAAGGAGAGGATGCCGAAGACCAGGACCAGGATTGAGACTTTGCCTCTAGCCACCCCTGGCTAGAAGGTTTTTCCAATCCCTAGTAAGGAGGGATTAGTAGTTAAACAAAAATCAATCTGCGTTACACATCATATATTTAGTTCTATACAGGTCCAAGTTAATGGTTAAGTCAACTGGATAGTGTTCATCCTACTGGTGCTTCCCTCCCTAGCCCCTTAACCAGATTCCAAGTTCAAGTAACCCATCAGGTGCTGTGAAACGAAAATGGGTGAACCCGCTGGCCCCAATGTTAGGATCTTGGAGCCGAGGAACTGAACCGTTAGGTCCCAGGTCACATAGACTCTGGCTACGCAGGTTCCATCCTCCCTTTGGGGATGGCTAGGGGACCAAGTCTCACACAGTGGCCCTGAGCAAGGATCTTCCCTGCCTGGGGCAGCCAGGTTACCCCCTGATGAAATGGAGTCCACTTGAGAGGAGCTGGTCTACCATTTCAGCAGGTGGCATGCTGATTCTAAGTGATAAGGGACTTTCGGTACAGATGGGTCTTAGAAATGGCAGGCCTGCGAGTCATGGGACACGCAGAAGTCTCTCCTGTAACCTGCCCTGATGTTTACAACTCCCAAATCCTTCCTACTGAGCTTTAAGTCCCACTTCCGCTTCGATTGCCCTCAGAGATGAAAAAATAGCTTGTCTGCATTTCTGATGTAAAAGGCCTTCGGCTTTCTCTTTTGCAAGTTTAGGAATTCCTATTGCTTCTAGCATAGGACTTATCTACAAATCATCTAATCATCTTTGCATCTGGCTGTGAGTCGTCTCCAAGTTCCCCATATTCCTCTTAGCTTTTGCTCAGGGTCAGGCATTGTCCTCAGTAAAGAGATGGCAGAGGCTGACAACCACCACGGGGCTCCATCCTGGCTCCATCGGACATCCCCCCACCCCCACCCGCCAGGCTCACTCACGCTTGCTTTCATAAAGCTAGTGCTATGTTTCAGACCCATGCCCCAGGATCAGAGTTTTTTTGCTGGGGATTAACATAAGATGCTGGCAGAGGCTCAGATGGTCCAGCATCAGCTGTACTCAGAGAGGAAAGGTGGTTGTTGCGATAACAAAGTGCCAGAGTCTCATCCTAAGGTTAGAGTACTGTAGGATTTCTGGCAGGCACAGACCCAATCAGGTACTTATTGAGCTTCTGAGTATAATGAGTCTCATAAAATAATAGTCTCTCTTCTTAAATACATGGTGTGTGCACTGAGTCCAACGATTAGTCAGTTTGCAGTCTAGACTGTTAACCACGATGCCTTCATTACTGATATTTTCCGGTAGTTTATTACATTATGATGCGACCCATGACGTTCTGATGGCATTTTTGATTTCAGGACCTGAGCTTAGCATGCGGGCAGGAGGGTGGGAGCTCGAGGTGGCCGGGCACTACCTGGGGCTCCACGTCCAGTATTGCAATCAGCCCCTGCTCGTGAATCTTCCGGATGGTCTCCAGTTTGGTCCCATACATCGCATCCTCGTGGCTGCCATACTCCAAGTACTCATTGTTAGAGATGTCTTGCATCATTTGGTCGTGGGATACAAAGTAATAATTCTTTCCATTTTCTTCATCTTTCTTTGGAGGTCTGGTTGTATCTGCAAAGTCACATGTCGAGAGGTTTAAGTGACTGAGCTTATGAGCCTACATTCCCAATGGATCTACCTGAACCCAATCTCTTCTTAAAAGCTATGGATTCTTTAGTATATGTCTTATGCCCTGTTCCCACCCCCAGTAGCTTTGCAGAAGTAAACTGTAGAAGTCACATTTATCTGTGTGACATCAGACCACAGTAGCTGGTGAGTTGTTTGGTTTGGTGACTCTTTCAGTGTTTATATCAGATCGATTTCATTCTTTCATGAGTCATTACAGGAGAAAGACACTAAATGATGCAAGATTAACATAAGTCACTGTATGCTTTAACGCAGTTAGGCATAAGGAAAACAGAAGAATTAAAAAAATGGAAAACCACACATGGTTATCTAAATTTAAATAACTTGAAGTTAAAATTTCAGTTCCTAGTTTCATTACCCACATTTCCAGGGTTCAATAGCCACATGTGGCTAATGGTGACTGTACTGGACAGTGCAGATACTGAACACTGTCAGTATCAGAGAAAGTTCTATTGCATAGTGCTGGTCTACAGCATCTTGCAAAAGGAGAATGTTAGAATACAGCAAAAGACATATGATATTGAAAATACAATCACCTTAGTCAGACATGGCCATAATAGTTAAGCAAGACCTAAACCAGGAGATGGCAAACTATGGCCTGTGGGCCAAATGTGGCCCGCTGTCTGTTTTTGTAAATAAAGTTTTATTGGAATACAGCCATGCCCATTTGTTTACGTATTGTCTATGGCTAATTTCATGCTGCAATGGCAGAGGTGAGTAGTTGTGACAGAGACCATATGACCCTCAAAGCCTCAAATATTTACTATTGGGTCGTCGGGAAAGTCATGACGTATTTTTCTATGTTTTTCAATACAAACATGCGTCATGACTTTCCCGACGACCCAATATATCTGGTCCTTTAGAAAAAAGATTTGCTGACCCCTGACCTAAGCGAGTGTAGACTAAAATATCTGCAGTAAGTCCTAGTTCTGTGGGATACTAATGGGACCAGTATTCTGCAAAACACACTTTAGGAAATTTTTTCTAGACAAGCCAGGAATATTGGTTTCAGTTTTCTTTCCCTATCACCTCCTTTCTTCTCCCTCTCTTTCCTCCCTTTTCTTTCTCCTCTGTCTTCCTTTCTTTTCCTTTCTTTCAATTTCCTTTTTAACTTCTTCCTTCCTTCCCTCCTTGAGTGGCAAGGAATTCTCTCTCTCCTGCCCTAACTAGACTATTAGAACTTCCAGGTGCTCATGAACATAAAAATGTGGATGTTTTAAAAAAGAACTCTTTCTCTAGGCACATGATGTGGATGCTGTACTATCTTCAGTCATCTCAGTAGGTAAACATATGAAATATACACAACCCGGGCCAAGTATTTCAAAGAGTAGACATGACTGAGGTCAGCAGCAGTATTCTTTAAAAGCAAGCTACTTTAGTGGGAAGATGACTACTATTTATCCAGTATCTGCTAAGTGCTTCACATCATCTCAAATCCTCTCTATATCTTGAGAGTTACTTCATTTTACAATTGAGGAAACAAAGAGGGCAAGAGGTTAAAGATAAAGTAGAAAATAAGGGGAATAAAAATATTACAGATTTAAAGCTCTTTATAATAAACAACTGATAGCACATTGACTGGCTTTTAAAAGTGAGACAAGTCAACCATTTAGGTACTGAGTAAGGAAAATATTGTTATATCAAAGAAAACTATTCTATCATTAAAACCTATTTTGCTGAAGAATAATTCATCTGGGTAATATTTATGACATGCTGTTGGAAAAATTAGGTTACAAACAGAATGAATGAACCCAATTTTGTTAAAAAACAATGACAAACAAATACATACACTATACATATTTGTACTTAGGAGAAGTCTGGAAGGGTATGCAATGAAATATCTATAGCACTATTACTGGGGGAGTGGGGTTGAAAATATGAAACCATTTTCTTCTTTGTCCTTTTTTAGATCTTCTAAATTCCTATAATGAACAGTTATTATTTATATAATCAGAAAAGAATATGTAAATGACAATGTTAAAAAAGTACTAGGAAAAACGTAATTAAAAGAGAGTGAGACGTGGCTTACGTGGAATAGGGTACGCAAACCGGTCTGGGTGCTTTGTGATGAGGGTGTTTTTTATGTGTCTTCTTCCAACACCATGCGCACCTGTGTCATTTTTTAAAAAGGAAGTTAAAATGGACAATTGTTAATTATATTCGCAAAATGTTTCAAAGGTGAGAATAAGAAAGCCACTTCCACAATCAAACTTACCTAATAAGACTAGTGTTTTCCTTTTGAATGCTGGCAGTTTTACTACTTCTTCATATGTAACAAGATCTAATTGATCGAACACTAAAATGCAAAGATTTAGAAGAAAGGTAAATTTACGGAAGGAATATTTCATGTATGTAAATTATAATTTTAGTGGCAAAACTAAAGTAATGGTAAAACCATGTCTTAAAAAATATAAATCCAACTTATATTTAAGTCATATAACCTTTCGAGAGAAAATTTCATTTTTAAGCCCATGAAAATGCACTTTAGAACCAGGGATATCCAAAGATACGTTGAGCACATGCATAAAAGTCCAGTTGTAAAAGATACTGCATATCTTTTCATGCGGTATCCAACAAATCATATGAATTCATTCAAAACCACATGCTGTTCAGATTTTTGCAATTCTAAGATATCAGCAATACTAAAAAGAAAAAAGTCTGCAGACAGTGACCAACATGAATATAGCATGAATGCAACTAAAGTTAACCAAGAAAGAAGCCAGCGACATTATTGCTAGGGATGGATGAGAGATGTATGGACAGCTGGTCTTTAACTTCATGGTTCTTTCAACAGAGTTGCAGAAGGTAGCATGCTAGATTCTTTCAAACTCAAATTTGGTAACTATTATTTTACAAGCTTTTAAAATGAGTATATCGCAAGTTTTACTGTAACCCAGCTATTCATTTGATGGAAGGTCTTGGGAATGTAAGTAGGGGTACATGCTTCCCTGGGCCCCAAACTTTGTCAGCCTGTGTGTAGTAAATCAGGATGAATAGAATGGAAAGAAGCATGAAGCAGAGCCTGAGCTTGGAAACCTTTGCAAAAGGGAGTTCTCTAATCATTACAGACTGAGAAGAAATACTTTAAAAAATATTTTTTGGAAACCTGCCTCTTAACAAAACTATTACAAAGACTTTCCCGAGAGGATGACCATTCCTGCTGAAGTTCAAGGTAGTCCAATTCCCACACATTTCAGAATTCTCACAAAAAGGCTAAAACTATGCATCTATGTTTCCTGTATTATTTTTCTGCATAGTAAAACGTAAATGTTGTCAGGCACACACTGAAATTTCTTTTTTAAATAATATGAAATAAGCTCTGGATTTTAGAGGAGTTGAAATAAATTCTATAGAATGATTCCCTGGTGTAATAAAGGAACCTTGGGCGCTTCAGTCAGTCACTAAGAGAAGCTTCTACTTCTCTGAAAACAGTATGGCCAAACAGCTCAGTCCTTAACATTTGTGATCTTCCCAGTAGCAAAGAACCTTAAAATACAAAATAGGATACTCTGGGATGCAACAGATCAGAAACAAACAAACAAACAAACAAACAAACAAACAAACAAACAAACAAAAGTATCATTCCCAAAATATTAACAAAAAGAAATGCAATATGTTAAAATAAGGGTTAGTGCATGTTAATGGGTATTTATGCATTTGTTTTCTTTTGATAACTTGATTCCAAAAAGGTTGACTGAAAGTCTTGAAAGCATATTCTCTAGCAACAGCTAAAAACCAAGAAATGCTTTCAGTGTTTAGAATGGCAGACTCACAAAATTAAAATGAACAGGAGGTTCTCTTCATAGCAAACCTAGCTAGTCATTGCTACAGTGGTAATGGAGTGACGCGAGTTGCCAAAATAAAAGCAGGAGAGCTTATGGCATTGCTTTTTATACCTACTGCCCTCTGAGTGATATTTCCATTAAGAAAAAGTATGCTTATGAAAGAGGTGCATCAATAAGCTGACATATTGTAATATATAAGAATAATCAAGCATCTCACAAAAGAGCAAGATGATGACGACAACACAAGCTTTCTGAATTGTATACACACCCCTTTCACTCTACAGAGAGCCCTAGCTCCAATCCTACTGAATTAAGACTTGTTTTTTAAAAACACATAAGAATGAGTTAGCTATCAACCATCAACACCACAAACAAATGAACAGATATGTGGCACATCAATATCTTAACCATAAACAAGTAGCATGAAGAGGTTACTCTGGTCTAAATGAAATCAACCACATGGTCATAGGATTGAGAAACAATAAACAAAGGATATTTTACAATAAGACATACAAGGGATGTAAGGAGAATACTTAAAGACTGGACTTTTAAAGGCTTTAAGATGTTCGGTCATTACAAAAAGGACTTAGTGAAAAGAAACCGTCAAAAACAAAGAGGCATAGTCACTCAACAGGTTACTTACATGCACAGAGGCCATTGGGAGTAAGACAGCATGAAAAATGTACAGGGTTCATTGAAATATGGCTTTTAATATATTAGTAAAATAAAAGTATAATATGCACAAAAGAAACTTTACCATGCAATATTCTAAACATGAGGCAAATAAATCACATTAAGAAACAAACTCATTTTAATAAAAATTCAACAATATCCTTATATAAAAGCCAGTGGGTTTTATATCCTAGCATAGACATAGAAATGTTGTCTGGGAATAGTTACAGGAGACCTTCTTCAGGGAGTGTAGGTGTGGAAGTCTTTCATTTTTCATTTTGTACCTTCCTGTACTTTTCGCAATTTCTAACCATGTGTGCCTATTACTTTTATTGTTTAAATAGAAAAACATCCACAGGGCAGTGAGATTATGTGCCACTTTTTGCTGTCTTTAGAGTTCTCTGTATTAAAGAAAAAAAACTATAGCTTTTTAAAGACAATAGTACTAATTTGTGGCATTACACATAATTTAAACACACTTATGAATGGTATTGTAGAAACCCTTTATGTTCATATGATGTATGTAAATAGGGTATGTATCTCAGGATATTTAAACATCTCTGTGCAAGACTAACATAAAAAATGAGTTAATGAATACTTTTTTCAAAGTTTCCATTAGTAACTTGATCTTAAACTGATTTTCGAAGTCCTAAGGCTGAGGAACATCGATGCCTCAAGATTATAGTTCTTCTAGCAGCATGACAATGCTTTTCCCATCAAATTTATGTGGCTAAAAACTTATGCATTGCAGAACATGTATTTGCTGTAAATACTACATAATCAAATCTATTCCCGAGGTTTCAGAAACACTGTCTGGCATAGATTGTTCATATTATCTTGATTTCCTGGTAAGCTACTCAATATTCATGAAATGTTTAAGTATTTAGGTAACTACTTTCCAGTTGAATGTTTTTTGTACGTGAGCCTTTAACATTGATTCCTTGCCTCAGTTTTGAAAAGCTAGAAGTATCTTCAAATACTGTACAAACCACCAACTAGAAAAGACACTGCACAGTGGCAACACTGGGCCAAGGGCACACTCAAAGGTTTTGTTTTCCCCATATGCACACAGTGTTTAAAATACTTTTAATTAGTTATCACATTTGAATATCAGCTATTTAACATTAAAATCTGGGTTGCCTTTCCTTGAAAGGACAGACGATATGGTAACATTGGGCCCAGAAGACTACTGCTTAGGAAAATGCTAACGATCACAAAAAAGTGGTGGTGGTGGGTCTTCCCCAGCTTCTTAGTTCTAAGTTTACAAGAATTTAGACAAGTCCATGGTTTTGGATAGGAGGTATAATGTCAAAAGAGAAAAAGCAATTCTATTCTATCCCTATGAGGCTCCTGCCTTCTTAATCAATGATACCCTTCAAACTTGATGGGCAATATTTACCAGAGCTAAAGCCTGAGATAAGGGAAGTGAACGAGTACTTGGCTTCATTAAATGATACCCATTTATCAGGTCCAGTGATGAAAGAACCTGAGATCCACTGAATTTTAGATTAGAAACGATATCCTTGATTGACTAAGTGATCTCCTCCATTCTGAGGCCCACAGGAACCAAGTGATTTTGTGCAAGTTGCAGGTACTCAGGTGTGCTAATTCCTGGTCCTATCTCAGGTTGCCTATTAATCTTACAGGTGCATTTTCAGGACCACTGAGCATCACCTATGATGAATCAGGAGAATGAAAACAATGGAAGATCAGTGATGCCCCAGCAATCAAATCATGGACAAAGGGAACTGTGGAAAAGATTGGCCGCCGGACTGGATGCTGATTCTCTGGCAAAATTCTTTTTTTTTTTTCAGGTGTACAAAACAATGTAATAGTTAGACATTTACACCCCTCACAAAGTGATAACTCCCCTCCCCCAGTGTAATACCCCTCTGACATCGTATATAGCTGTTACAATTCCATTGACTATTCTCTACGCTGTGTTCTACATCCCATGATTATATGTACATTTAATTATAGTTGACATTCAATATTATTCAGCTTCAGCTTCAGGTTCTCTGGCAAAATTCCTGATAGCTAAATTCGACAGTGAACAATTCAATGGGTTCTTTGTCAGAATTTAGAGGGTCTAGGTTTTCAATCAATTGGCTTCACATTTTTCCTCAGAGCTGAATTAAAGAATATCAGAAAATTGAACACTCATGTCTATGTGCCCTCCATCAATATAGTATAAAGTTAATGATGAATCAACAGCCTTAATCAGTCATTTCTTTGCTTTTGTAGGTTTAAATTAATTTTAATTGCAACTATCTACCTATATCATTTAAAATTATTGTAAAAATTACAAGGATATATACATATACATATATGTTGACACATCTTGTGAGCCTCTTAGAAACAGATGGAAATAAAGGTGGTGACTATGGAATGGAGCCTTAGCAATAACCATTGACATTTTGTGTTAAACAACATTTGCTGATACTACAGTGAATTTCTTCAGATAGTATACTCCTTGAGCTTTTGCAATTAATAGTTGACAGGATTTATTGGAAATAAAAATGTGGTACAATGTACCTGATGTGAAGGGACAGACTCCTCATTTAACTGAACCATTTAAAATTAATGCATGTGGCCACTCACATTAATTCCACATTATACAGTACTTCAAAATGTTTACTTTTACTCTCTGAATAAGAAATGAACCATTCAGAGTTTCTAAATAATTTTTCCTGTTAATGCTAATAACATATGTTATATATAACATTCTACAGAGAGAAATGCATTTCATGTTTGTCAGGAATATTATACTGTCAAATTGAGTACGCATGACAGTGTTCACTTGGTTTTTTTTTGCCACATGTTTGATTTTTGGAGTTATTTCTGAAATCTTGGGAATGAATCTAATGCCAATGTTGGGACTTGTAATTCCTCAGAAAAACTTCTTTATAAAAGGAGTCATATTAAGAAGTTATTGGGAATAAGCAAATATCACTCTACATATCATCATGTACTTTCTTTAATTTAAGTTATATCCTGTGAGTCTTCTGGGAATTCTACTGCAATGACAGATCATGCTTTTTTGGTATTCATTTCAATTTTTAGCTAACAAGTGAATATTTTGTCTTAAGTTGATGCAAGCTCCCACATAGACAAACATACCGTGAAGGGAAGGCCAAAATAATGCTCTCGGTCTTTTAGGAGCCAAGGAAATACCATGAGGGAAGAAACCAAGTCAGAGACACTGGCCAAACCAAGTTAGTATCCAATGTCATTTGTGCTTTTTCAAACCAGTCACCGAACCATTCGCTGCGTAGCTCTCTATTAAGAGCACAGCTTTGCCCTTTGAAATGTGTCCTAGGGCCAAGTCCAAGGGCCACAGAGGAACCAGGAGCAAGGGTATTTGCTCAAGACCAATATCAGCAAGGAGGCAAGAATCCTGGTGACTTAGCAAACTCTCAAGCTCTCATTTCTCAGGGGAGGGCTTAATGTACTGGGTTCTTTTTGTTCCAGAAAATACTATTTCCAAATAGCATTTTCTTCCTATAAAGTATAGCTCTTTAAAATACCTGGCAAATAACCAACATAATTGAAGGCAGGAGTTTCTTAATGGTTTTGCAAGCTGATGAAGATCTCATACGGTGGAATTTTGGGATAGAGAACTCTGAAGACTGAATTGAGATGTGACATCTATTTCAGTCTTTGAGATACGTAACTGGCCTTGTAAAAGTTGTACTTTTCCCTACCTGCATTGTGCTTTGCCAAATATTTATCTTTGTACTGCTTCTTTTTCTTGCCAAACCAAGTACAGCTGGCCTGCTGCTCCTGTTTGGTCTTCTCCATGGCGATGCAGGCTACTCGCCTAACACACAAAGAAAGAGAGGGGAAAAAAAACCTAATGTATAGTTTTATGTTGATAAAAGAGAAAAATCACTCATTTGAAAAGCTTTCATGAACCTGCGTGAACATAATCCTCACACATTTTTCAAGTCATATCAGATAAAGGTTGTTCTTTGGCTTTCATGACAATTTCCTAAAAATGTTTTAAAAACACAGGCTTATAATAAAATGTTCCTTGAGCATATAGTAATTAACACAGATAAGAAGCCCAAACATATGGTCATGACATATACTGGAAAGAGCATGGGATTTTGAGTTGAGACAGGTCTGGTTTTAATACTGGCTCTATCACTTATTAGCTTTTATCAATTTAGTGTTGGGTGCTTTTCTGGGAAATTTACATGTATTAACTCACTTAATCTTTCTAAACGCATAAAATTGTGTTACTCCTTTACAGATGAGGGAATCGAAGGACTGAGAGGTTAAATCATTTGCCTTCAATCATACAGCTAATAAGTACAAGAGTGAGGACAGTCTAGTCTGGCACCAGAGCCCATGCTCCTCGCTAGTACATTCTATTGGCAAATTCCTTAACCTCTTACAGCCTTTTGGATGGATTATAACAAACAATGCTAACAACGTCCCTAGCACAGTGGCAGACATGGTAGATGCTAAATATATGGTACTACTATTACATGGTGATTCCAGTCTTACAAGATAGAAAAAAATGCTATGATTAAATCCACAGTTAGAATTGCAATCAGAAAATTATAATTTTGTTCTACATGATTATAATATTCAGCATCTGTAACATATGCACAAATGTTGTTATAAAGTTGCTCTCTTAGATTTAGTTTAAGCAAATTGTGTGATATTGCCATAGAAGGTTTTGCTTATGGACTAACCAGGGGTCCCCTAGTGAGCCACACATAAGGAGAATCCAAAATCACTATCAGAATGCCACACAATGCTATTGAAAATGACGTTATTTTCCAATGAGATTGTACTGATTTACACTCCCACCAGCAGGGTATGAGAGTCCCTTCCTTGCCAACACTTGGTATTATCAGTCTTTAATTTTAGCAATCATGGTGGGCAAGTAATGGAATAACACTGTGTTTTGAGTTTGCGTTTTACTGATGATTAATGAGGTTGAGCACCTTCTCATGTTTATTGGCTATTGGCTTTCCTCTTTTGTAAAGTGTCTGTTCCAGTCTTTTGACTATTTTCCTATCCAGTTGTCTCTCTTTTTCTCATTGATTTGTCGGATTTTTTAAAAAAAGATTTCATTGGGGAGTTGGGAGAGGGGAACAGCACTGGGGAATTGGGGAAGGGGAACAGACAAGTTGCTGTCCTTTTGTTCTTCAGTCTAGTTGTGGAGGACGTTGCTTCACTGGCCCATGTTGGTATTATCATTGCGCTCTTCCCGGGTGAGGCAGATCATTCACAGGCCACTGGACGGCTGCTCACGGTGGCTCTTGGAAGCTCACACCGGCTGCCAGCTGCTCATGCTGGCTGCCAGCCACTCACGGTAGCTTTATAGCAGCCCACTGCAGCCTAAGCCGTCACCGGCAACTCATGCCAGCCCAGCTCCAGGTGGAGCTGTTGTTCACCATCTTAGCTGTATAGGGCGCAGCGTCACTGGCCCTAATGTGGGATCCAAACCGGGGCCCTGCTGCTCAGAGCTGGTGTCTCAAGCCAATTCTTAACCAACGCGCCACTCGGCCGGCCCCTGGAATTCTTTATATGGCCTGGATATTACACCTTCATTAGTTATACATGTTGGGATAGCTTCTTCCACTTTGTGGCTTGCCTTTTTACTCTTTTTATGGTATCTTTTGGTGAATATAACCTATTAATGAGCGTTAATTTAGTCAAATTTAGCAATCTTTTCTTTTATGGGAAGTATTTTTGATATCTCGTTTCAGAAATCCTTCTTTGTCCCTGAAGATATACTCCAATATTACCTTCTCAAGGGTTTATAATTTTGCCTTTCACATTTTGGTTTTTAATATACTGGAACTGTACATGGTGTGAAGTTAGGGGTCAATTTCTTTCTTTCTTTCTTTTTCCCCCTAATGGATACCCAATTATCACAGCATGACTTATGGAAAAATATCCATTCCTCACAAGTGACTATTTATGTATGGGAGTGTTTTGGAGTTCTCTTCAATTGGTCTATTAGAGCACCTTCATTCCCATCCCTTAATATCTTAATTACTGCAGCTTTATAATAAGTCTTGGTAGCAGGTGGAGTAAGACCTCCCCTACTTATTCTTCTAGAAGAGCATCTTGGCTACTCCTGATACTGTGCATTTCCATGAAGACTCTTAAAAAATTAGCTTGTCAATTTCAAAATGGTTGGGATTTTGGTTGGGATTGCATTGAATCTATGAATCAATCTGGGAGGAATAGATTTCTTTACAATATTGAGTCTTCCAGTCCATGAATGCAGTATCTCTCTCCACTTATTTAGGTCTTTCATGTCTCAATACGTTTTATAATTTATCCTGTAAATGTCTTGAACATCTTTGTTAGATTTGTTCCTAGGTTGTTCATTTTTAAAAAAAGAGGTTTTATAAATGGTATTTAAAAAAAATTTTGTTCTGTTGAAAATTTCAAACATACTACAAGAGTAGAGAATAGTGTAGTGAACCTCAAATACCTAAAACCCAGCTTCAACATTTATTAACTCATAGCTTATTTTGTTTTATTTACAACCTACCCACCCCAGATTATTTTGAAACAAATCTAAGTTTGTATCATTTCCTCCTTAAATATTCTTAAATTCCCCTTAAACTGATAGGTTCCCTCTCCTTCCCTCTTTTCTTTTCCTTCTTGCAATTTATTTGTTGCAGAAACTGGTTGTTTGTTCTATAGTTTCCAAGTCTGGATTTTCTGATTTCATCCCTGTGGTGTCTTCAGTAAGGCCTTCTGTCTTTTGCATTTCCTGCAAATAGGTAATTAGATCTAGAGGCCTGATCAAATTTAAGTTTTATATTTTTTGCAAGGATACTTTATAGTATTATGGTTTTGCAGGTAGTGTTATGTATGGTGTGTTAAAAATTTTGTTTTCTGTTTGTTGCTGGTAAATAGGAAGGAATATAATTGACTTTTTTTTTTTTTAGCTGAGCCATCCTGTCACCTGTTGGCAACTCAGCAGCAGCTCAGCTCGGGCCGGCAATTGAACTGGGGACCTTGTTGCTCAGAGCTCGCACTGTTGAGTGAGCTCTTAACCAAATGAGCCACTCGGCCGACCCATAATTGACTTTCATATATTCATTTTATATCAGCTATTTTGTTACACTCTCAGATTAATTCTAATTCTTTATAGATTTCTTTGAATTTCTACATACAGAATCATATCACCTGCAATAGTTTTTTCCATTCTAATAATATTCACTGTAGGTTACTGTGGATGCTCTCAATCAGGTTAAGGAAGTTCCCTTCAATTCAGTTTGTGAGAGTTTTAATCATGTGTGGATATTGAATTTTATTAAATGCTTTTTCTGCATCTATTGATACAGCCAGGTGGATTTTCTACTTTAGTCTGTTAATATGGTGGACTTCAAATGTTGAACCAGCTATGCATTCCCAGTACAAACTCTATTGGGTCAAAATGTATTATCCTTTTCATATATTGTTGGATTCAATTCTTTAATATTTTGCCGAGAATTTTTACAAATATGTTTGTGAGGGATACTGGTCTGTAGCTTTCTTTTCTTGAACTACCTTTATTGGATTTTGGTATTAGGGAAAGCTGGCATCATGAAATGAGTTGGGAAGTGTTCTCAGTTTTTTCTTTTTCTTTTTTTTTTTAAGATTTTATTGGGGAATTGGGGGAGAGGAGAACAGCGTTGGGGAGTCGGGGAAGGGGAACAGACAGGTAGACAAATTGCCGTTTTTGTTCTTCAGTCTAGTTGTGGAGCTCATCGCTTCACTGGCCCATGTTGGCATGATCACTGTGCTCTTCCTGGGTGAGGCAATCGGTCACCAGTCATTGGTCGGCCGCTCACAGCGGCTCCCAGCAGCTCACACCGGCTGCCAGCCACTCACGTAGTTCACGGCAGCCCGCTGCCTACGCTGTTGCCGGTGACTCACAGCAGCCCAGCTCCAGGTTGAGCTGTTGTTCACCATCTTAGTTGTAGAGGGCGAGCGTGACTGGCCCTCAATGTGGGATCCGAACCGCAGCCCTGCTGCTCAGAGCTGGCGTCCCAAGCAAGCTCTTAACCAGCTGAGCCACTCGGCCGGCCCTATTCTCAGTTTTCTTGAAGAGACTGTCCTCCATGTGTCTTACTCTCTCTTATTCATTGGGGGTTGTATTTTTATTTATTTATTTATTTTGGGTTAGGAGAAAGACATTTATTGGGAAACACTGTGAACTCTCAGCAACAGTATTAAAGTCCTTCTCCATATATTATGTGTTGTACAGAGGAGGCTGATGAAGCCTTTGCTTTTTGGGGATTCTTCCAGTACAAGCCCATTGGTGCTCTTAGTCATAACTATAGTTTCTGTGAGGCACAGGATCTTTGGAAACAAACAGAACAGGAATTTTTGACAGGTTAAAAAAAGACAAAATCCTGACCTTGTGAAGCTTATGTTATAGTGTACAGAGTATCTTATAATGAATGTTTTTAAGCTTAAAAAATAAAAACAAAAAGTTCCCAGTAAAAATTTGTGGTGTGGCCATATGTAGTATAATGATAACAGAATAAAATGGATTTTTACCAGCTGCTCAGGAAATGAATGTTATTTCTTTTAGCTCAGTAAGTGGAGGGAAACCATGTTAGGATTTAGGTCAACCTGGAGGGAAATTTCAAACAAGTTTAACATTTTATTGCTGAGGCAAGGGAAGGGGTGACAGGTTCAGGGGCTCAAAACATATCAAAGGACTAGAATGATAAGTCTTGTCAAGCAAGATGAAATTTAACAAAGATAAATAAGGTAGCATTTGGGTCTACAAAAATTGATTTCTCATCTACAGGATGTGAGAAACATCAGTTGGTATCAACTTATTTGAACAAAACTTCTGGGTCTGGCTGACAGTGTTGTTTCAAATCTTTCTCATTAGTATTGCGTGCCCACCAACATTCTAGAGACCACTTCAGTTTTCCAACAAGGGACTCTGATCTTTTCCCTCAGCCAGGAATGTCTTCTCGTACGCCCAAAGCCCTACTCAGGTCTCAGGGCACATACTGCCCAGTGGGCCGCTTCCTCAGCATTCCAGTTAGAACCCCTTTCTCCCTTTACAGGGAGAAAGTCTGGCAACTTTATTGAGTTCAGTTTTTTTTTGCAATGAACTGAATATATTCCAAGTGTACAGTTTCATCATAACAAACCTTTTCATCACCCCAGGAATTTCCTTATGCCCCTCTGTAATCCCGCCTCCTTCCTTTGGGTCCTCAGGCAACCACTGTCACTATAGATTAGTTTTGCATTTTCTGGAATTTTATATAGGTGGAATCATATAGTATATATATATCTTTGCCTGGACACTCAGTATAATGATTTTGAATTTCCCCCATATTGTGTGTATCAACAGTTCATTCCTTTTAATTGGTTAACAGCATCACATTGTATGGATATGACTTCATTAGTTTATTCATTTATCTGTTGATGAAACTTAAAATTTTTTTTGCCATCCTAATAGGTGTGTGGTGTGAGTTTTTGTTGCTGCCTTTTTTTTTCTTGAAAGTTCCTTTTGGTTCTTTTTAAAATCTGCTATGCCATTAAATTTTTTCCTGTTCTCTGAAGATATTTTTCAAGATTATTAAGTTTTAAAAACCTGCTAGTCAGCACAGTTGTTTAAAAACCTTGTTTTCTAATTCTAATATATAAAAGAGGTTTGGGTTTGTCTGTGCTGTCATTTCGGTTGGGCCTCTCAGTCAGGTCTCGCTTGTTCCCTTGGCTATTTTGACTTGCTGGTCACTGCTCTTGAAAACGTTCATGTGGGGGATTAGGACAGGCTCTAAGATGAAGCCTAAGATCAAAGTGGTGTTTTTTTTAGAGATTTTCTTTTTGTTTCTAACAGATGTTTGGAACTATTAGTAAAGGGGAAGCCTCATGTTAAGTGCATGGCTGGAGTTTCCCTGGCTGTCCCAGGCTATGTGTACCTGGGTGCAAATCCACTCAAGGTGGACCAGCGGCCACAGTTTTTTCAGGGCAACTCTGTTCTCCTTTTACTCCTGTCTTTTGCTTTGCTCAGTGACAAGGCGGCCTTCTCTTGGGTCACCTGTGTTGAAGGACAGTTAAGGGCAGGCTTATCTGCCAGCTCTTCACCTGGGGTTATAGACTTTTGCAGTCCTAACAATGTGGGAAGGGTCTCCTAATGGACTCCCGTCTGGGCCTTGGGTCTTAACTTTGGTCCCTGGCACAGGAGTTTTCAGTAATCAGAAATGCCCTCATAGCAAAATGGGCCAATTTGGTGCTCTAATTTTTACTGTTGTGATTAATGGCTTTCATATCAAAATTGGTCACTGAGTTCCCCAATACCTTTTCAGCTACTCAATGCTTTTAAGGTAATTTTCAAAAACATACTTTCCACAGCACTTTTCATTTTATTCAGCAGGAGGATTGATTCAAATAACCTAGTCTACCATTACAGGAAACAGAAAGCAAATTTGCTTTTTCCACTGCCATTTCTCAGGATTGCTCCAGAGGACTCGGAGTTCTAGGTATCGGTGAAACATGATTTATACAGATGATACGATTAGGGAGAAGAGGCCTGGAATCTACAAAATTATTTTCAGTAAATGCTCATCATATATAGTAACATTCAAGAACACAGTTTGTAAAATATAAACATCAGTAATAACATAATAACATCATCATCAAAATGACTCCTGCTAATGCTTAAACTGTTTCTTGAAGATCAGACTGAAAGACAATGTCAGGTGGAAGGCTGCTACTTCCTCTCCCTGGGCCCACAAATCCTCTTGTAAAATGATGGCATCTGAAGTTCTTATCCGCTCCAACATTCTAAATTTAAGAATATTTTGGGGAAACATGGGAGAGCTAAAAGAGGCAATCAAGCAAAAGCGATTAACTGAGAAATCTCTTTAGTGAGAAAAATGAGTGAAAGAACAGTTACAAATGTCTATGGGCTAGGTGCCTTTTGTCTCTTTTAGCTAGGTTCTAATGTTTTGGGAGGCACTGGCACAACGCCTAATGGTTATTTTTTGTCACATGAAACAAAACTCAGACATAAAATTATCTCTTTTGCATTGGATTTCTAATATATTGCCAAAGGACTGACAAAGGTAAAACCATCAACATTTTTCAAAAAATAGTTCAACTAAGCAAATTGTAACAACAGCAGAAATAGATTTTACCAAGATATATAGTAATCTGTGACTCCTCTCACTTAAAACTAGTGTCTAAGAACTGTCTGACTTTAAGCTGCTTTCAAAGCTCAAACTCTCTAACAGACATGAATTTTTAAAGACCTGGCAAGGTAAAGAAGGAAGCTTCTGACTACCTTTTTCTCCTAACAGTGAAACATTTTATCTTCCAATACCCTGAGTGCCACTGAATCACGGCATTTGAGTTTTTGCTGGCGGTGGAGTGGAATGGAGGTGGGGAGAGCATGTGGAGGGGCAAGGAGAGTGTGTACATTAAAAAAAACCCCTGCAATTCTAAAAGAATTGAAACAGTGTACAGGAGTGGAGGGCTCTGTGAAGAGACCATGATGTGATAGGGACCGAAGGCTGGTCACTCAACCTCTCTCTAGACCTTCCTCTCCTGATGTGAAATAAAGATCTGACTGTGTAAGCAGGAGCTCACTAGATGCTGAGGACGTAGAATTCTTGGATGACTAGTTTGAATTTTGTTTGACTAGCAGAGCAAGGAATATATCAAACAGATTTCACACTGTAAAACAATAATATGAAGTTGAAAAATGGATGTGAAGGGTTTTGTTTTTATTATAAAACAAAACAAAACAAAACAAAACAACAAAGACATACCATTCCTGAAGTTCAGGAGAAGGAATGAGACCTGCAGTTCCATTTTTGGAGTTTTCCAGTTTACCCTGCCACCAATTGTGATCATCCTTACTAATAATCTGGATAATGTCACCAACTCTGAATCGAATACCAGCTTCCTTGCAGGGGATGAGGTCATCCTTGGCTGGATCATATTCAAATTGTGCTCTTACATAGATCTATAAAACAGGAGCTTGTAAGAACGGATGCCATGGTAATGTGAAAGAAAACAGTTAGCTCTAAGCTAATAACCACACACAACACTTACAATACAAACAGGACATTAGATGGTGAAGGCAAAAATGAAGCATGGAAATACGACAGAAAAAACTGCTACCACTAGAAACAATGTACTGCCTTTGATGTATGCAGGTTTAAATCTTTGCTGTTTTATTTGGAAGGAATACTTAAGATGCTTGTTTACTAAAAATAAAGACTTAATTTCTGCTTTTACTGTAACAGAATAGGCCTATAATTATAGAGATCTATGCTTACCATTTTAAAATCTGCATATATATTTAGTTGATGTTATGGATAAGTTGTCATGATCATGTGGCACCCTTTAAACCATAAACACGAGCATTCAGGGTTGGTTTTCACCCTAAAGCAGCACATGGTACAAAACTGGCAAGAACACTGTGCTGGTGGTATCTTGCTGTAAAATGCCTACATGACAACGGGCCGTGTGTCTACACACTGCTGACAAGCTTCAATGTAATTCAAAGAATTTAAAAAAGTATTTAGAAATAATTTTATTTTTTTAAAAGGATTTAGGCTTTATATTTGTATTTTACATGTCTTAGAGAAGGAAAGTGAATTTGAATCCTAGCTTTGCCAATGTAACACGTGAAATCAGCACAGAGCTTCAAGAAATGCATAGCTCAAGGTTCTGAGTTTTATGATATGCAAATATAATTAATACATATTATAAAAGGAAACAGACTAGCATAAAAGGGGTTATCATATGGTAGCACTTTATGAATTAGTGGATTTCTAAATGCTTTAAAATAAGGTGCTAGGTGTCCAATGCTGTATCACTTATGTAGTCTTAATACTAAACTGTGGGTGAATTCTATCAGGTCCTAACTTATGCAAATCTTAACTAAAAACCTGATTATTTTTTAATACCACATTTCAAGGAAAATCCCACAAAAATTCTATCTTTTAAAATTAAATTTGAATATTAATGTTTAAGTCACTGTAAAACCAACCTGAAGGCTTTGGAACTATTGTGTAATTATTCTGTTTACATTTTTCCCCAGAAATCCAGCCTATAAAATTAACAAGTCTCTGCATTTGTACCTAAAATCCATACTTTGGAGGAGCTGGCAGATTGAAAGTTACCCGCCAGTGTTAGGCAGCACTTAGCTTTTCATGAGGCCATAAAGCCAGGATATTTATGTTCTTAGTTTTCATTGTAAATGGCTTTTACAAATACACATGCAAATACAAATTCAGAAAAAGCCTTCAAATTTCAGAAAATTATTGCTTAAAAATGTGCATCAGCATGTACATTTTAGTTATTCTAAGAATTCTAAGAAATATGTAACCTTAAAAAATTTTTTCCACCCCAGAGGCAGGCCCATAAAGACCCCTGAAAGGCTGAATTCTTATCTATTGACACAAGATTATCAGGTTGAAATTACAATAACCATCACAGCTACAAAGATGTGAGGGGAAAATCTTTATAGAGAATTAGTCATGTTTAATGTATTAAAATGAAATGGTACAAGCTCTCAATGCTCAAATGTTATGGTCCAAAATGCAGACATTATGGGATGGAAAGGGTTAATAAAGGATTGGCTATTAGCAGCTCAGTTTAGAGAAGTTTCTATAGAGGATATCTATTCACCTGTCGTCCTTTTGGTTGGGTAGTTGATGGCAAGTCCTGTAGAATAAAGCCAACCCAGGAGAAAAAATTTTCATTTACTTTTCAAGAGTACAAGGTAATTTGTGTGTTCTGTTACAATATGGTTTAAAATAGTGAGCTAGATTTAAGTTGTAAAGAGATAATATACATTATTCCATTTCTCAGAAATGTTTAGTTATAAAAAAAAATCAAACCCAGGCCATTTAGCAGCAAGCTGAAGAAAGCAGGTAAGTTTAAGCAGAGAGAAAATGTGTTCTTAAGGAAACAACTCAGCATCTTCAACACAAAAGCCACTGCGAGTGAAACAGCCTATTAAAAAAAACAAAAACAAAACCCCCAAACTAAAAAGAGCTGTTGCACTTTTCAACTTAGTCACTGCAACCATTTAGATTTTGAAAAATTCAATGGTCATATGGATTTTCACCATCTTAAAAGTACTAAATGTTAACTGTTACAAATGAATTCCTTTAATAGCCTATTTTGAAGTTGAAAATAAAAGTCATAGGAAATTTTCTTCCATAATTTCACTTACTGATATCATTCCATTTTGAGATGATCTCTAAATTATTTAAAATTTTACCTGACAAAAAAGTTGATATATTTTTAAAGGGCAAATTAATAGGGAAAAAAGTGATACTGCTGCACTATTAGAACTCTCAATAATTTTAACAGCAATATCAGCAACTTACAGAAGATTTTGTTACCCCCAAATATTGCATACTTGCACCTATAAGTGCTTGCATTTGTTTCAATAAGTGAAAGACAGTTCTTTTTATATTTCAAAATGGATGGTTCTGAAAAAAATGTAAAATTCCAAGTTCAAATCAAAATATAAAGTACTTTGTGTTAAAGATGTGATAACAGCGTGGCTTAAGTGCAGTGTGAAGCCAGTTCCTTTTGCTTTTCATATCCAGGCAAGGCTTAAAATTCACAAAAATATGTGCACGTACCACAATAACAGAGGGCACACCAATTCGTAAACTTAGATAGCGGAAACTAAAACATGTTGCTGATATCACTCAGGATAGACAACTACGAAGCCCGAGAAGACCCAAATGCCTACTCTGCAAAATCCGTACATTTATCTTTCTCAAATTAAAAAAAAAATTTAGAAATTTCTACAAATATCCATTTATATCCTTTGCATAAGCTTGAGCAAAGTCATAAATACTAGTGGGATGACAGAGAAATATTTTCAGAATGACCACAGCAGTCTTGAACTACATTTCTTCAAATTTCACTAATGGAAGGGATTTTATTGAGACGAAAATATTGAAAAAGATTTTCTGGGAGTAAACTGCATTGTAGCTGTAGTAGCCTCGTATATCGGCAGAAGACAATATTTCCACTGAACACATGTAACTAGAACACTCATGGCAGGTGGCACCAACAAAATTGTCACACTTTGCCGTGTGAAACTAGAGTTCTTACCGAAACAGAATTGTTAGTGCTGCTATGACCATTAGCTGGGGACTGTCTGGAAGTGGAGGGGGAATCTCTCTGAAATAAGACACAAGGTTCATTAACACAGAACACCAGCACAGAAACAGAGATATTCACATCAACAGTTACAACCACAGTATGACAACCATTTCCTCTGAGGTTTTAGCTGCAAAGGTGCCATACTGACTTACTTGCATGATTTCAGGGAAGTATGAAAAGACTTTGCTGTTTACAGATTCACATATCGTAAATGATGACCATGTCATTCATTAAGCATTTCTTTCCTGTCTCCAGCATTCTCTAACCTTTGCTTTCTTTAAGTGAGACCCAGAAGAGTGACTTGATATTAAAATCTTATCAAGTACTGTAAAATGACAAATATTACTATGAAATTATTGTGCTGAAGATCCCAACTCCTAATTTTTATTAAAAATTAGGTTTGAAAAGCATTTAGTCGTTTTTAGGTATCTCAATGTCAAAACTTACTGAATGACTCAATTTGAAGTGAAACAAATCTAAAAAAAACTTCTCACATTGTAATCACCTTGACTTGACAACTTTCTAGGACAAATATTACTAATAGGGTAAAAGGTAACATATACATCAGAGAAGAAACCTTTGTTCTTGAGATCATTTTAGCAGATTGATTAAAACAATAATCTTGAGCCTCTAAAAATATTACACTTCCGGCAAAGAACCCAGGGGCCACAGCCCTAGACCCATGCCCCTCAGTTGCACTCTCTGTACTAATCGACACATTCAAAGCCCTTTCCAAGCTCCACTCCCTTATTGTCCAAATCAACTGTAATGATAAGACCAAGGAAAGGAAGAAAGTGTTTTACATTTTTTGGTTTAGTAGAGTTCTTTGAAACCTTTGAAAGGTGCATGTCTGCTCAAAAGACATGTTTTTTTTCCCCTAGAAGATTTAAAGAAAACTTCTGGAAATCATTAGCCTTTTAAACAATGGGATCCCTTGGATGAGCATTCTCAAACGTTAGTGAGCAGACTAATGTCTAGGTGCCACCTCCAGAGACTCCAGTCAGAAGGGCCAGGGTGAGGGGCAGGGAGCCTCTCTTTTACCAAGGGCCAGTGGGATGCTGATGCAGGTGGCCACAGAGCCTTCCTTTGGGAAGAACTGCCCCAGCTGGGAAAAGTTCAACCACAAGCTTGAATTCTGCCAGAGCACAGGAGAGTCAAACAGGTTGGCTGGGGCTGGGAGGAGAGTATCATTTTTCCTTCTAGTCAGACAGAGGTCAAGAAGGTAAGAGGGGGGCTCATCTTCCTCAAGAATGTAGGATTTACATGTGTAATAGTGCTTCCACCCCAAAAACTAGTTCAACTCCTTAAAAAAAATCACAAGAGAAATCTATGTTATATTAATAACCAACAGTACCTTCTGGTTAGTTAGCCAAAAAGACAAAAGTCAATCGTGTTTACTAAATTTCTTCAATGATGAGAAATGGTATGAGGACCATCTCTGATTTTAGATTATTAAAATGCTTCACATAAAATGTGTGTATGACATCCTCTTTCCTAGCAAGGTTTGTGTTCTAGGTAACAAATTGCAAAACTACGAATCCTGAAGCAGAAATAGTTCTGCGTTTTCTTTTGAAATATAGTATTACTTGAAGTTCCATAAAAAGCCACCAAGAGGAGCTCAAGACTTGATATAAACACAAACCCCAATTGTCATGGCTCATGGAAAATATACTTGACAAAACTACAAATTCTTCAATAGGTCTGGAAACACACACAAAGCCTCTGATTTTTCGTGTGAAATTTACAGCACTACTAGAGACTGAAAGAAGCATTATAATTTCTCCCTCGACTTCTCCTAAGTACAAATTCAATTTTCTAGATGAGTTCCAATAAGTTACCTGTCAGTCCTAAGGAAATGTGTACTTCATATTGATGTACACATACTTGGAAGATGCACATGAAAGAACAGGCTTCAAAAAATAATACTCAAGCTGAATGTGTAATGACTGAAGGATGATACCATTTATGCCAGTTTGTATTTCCAAACATAAAAGGAAATACAAATCCCACCTAATAACCAACATAAAACTGAATAACATAGGTTGGAAAAGCTACAATTTTTATAGGCTAAGCCTATTATAAGAAAGAAACTTTGGGATTGAATTATTCTAGAAAACTTACTTGTTTACGAAATCACATATCATTACAAGTTTCAGCAATTTCACAAAAAGGTTGCAAAAGCCTATATTCCTTGAGTAATGTCAGTTATCAATTCCTCACAGACATCCATCTAGAGACCTGTCACAATCATTTGAACTACTCCATCTTGACAGAAATAGATTGCTTCTCAGATTCTTGGAAAGAACTATCTATGTGATTTCTTAACAAGGGAAGTGAATGTACTTCCTGGAAATAGTATTGTAATTATGATCGGTTTTTTTCCCCTCAGAGACTCTACTTGTTCTTTAATAAGTCTTATGTCATTATTTGTAGCTTCTCTGTATTTTGCTTGAATTCTGGTCTGCAGAAAGTTAAAGTGCTGAGGAGATCCCCATGGAAGTAAAGCTGAGTAGGTGGATGGGACCTACTCTGTTCCGTTATCTTTGTTGTAAAATTGGTGTGCAGTGATCAACAGCACAGGCAGAAACAACTTCCCAGAAAGCCAAAACATTCAGCCATCAGCAGACAGTTAGTTAAGAACCCAGAGGAGACGGGATGTTTGGTTAGAGCTATTACCTCACAGGACGATGACTGAGTGCGGTAACTTGGCACGATCTTGAAGGTGATACTTCCTCGCATTTCCCGCTGGAGGAAGAAAAGAGAGCTTTCTTAACAAACAAATGTTGCACACAAAACACAGAAGAAATCACTCAAAACGTGTGAGGGCAATACATGCCAGCCAGCTGAGAGGACCTGGGCCTAAAACGAAACCAGAGTTATAAGGCAGGGACTGCTCACAGTAACAGTCAAGTTGTTCCCGGAAGAAGCCCTGCAAAGTCAAGGCTGACTGCCTTGTTCATATAGCAGTGGTTTAACACACCTCTGACAGTTACCTTTCTAGAGACACGAATACAAAAAACTCTAAGTGACATGTCTTTCACAAGTGAATAGAAATCGAACTGGACAACAGAACAAGTTGTTACATAAAAATTATATTTGGTAGGCTATATTATGATGGTATACTCCATAAAAATTTGCTTTTTATTTCATCAGTTTGACCTTATTCCTCACTATAGTGAGTCTGTGTGCTTATTTCACACTTGACAGGTATTTGTAACTTGGGAGGCTGCTACATTGAGGTGGGAAGAAGACTGAGGACAAGATGTCCAAAACATTTCCCTCTGCTCACCAGGGCCTGTCCTTCTGCTTTTTTTTTTTTAAATCCAAAGCCAAATTTGAACACAGATTTTGGATATGTATGGTCAGACATGGCCTGGTCTACTATGACTTTTCTCCCCTCTCTGCTGTAGAGAAATCCAATACAGCTGGCTATGACTCAGCTTGAACAGGACCAAGGTTTGTGACATTATGATGTCAGCTGAGTTGAAGTCAGTGAGAAACTATTGGGTCGTCGGGAAAGTCATAACGTATTTTTTTCTATGTTTTTCAATGCAAAAATGCATCTTGACTTTCCCGACGACCCAATAGTTCACAGGTATGCACAACTGGAAAGGTTTTCTTTAAACATCTGCCCGGTAAGAAACAGTAGATAGAGGATGACAGGAGAGTGTTAAAAGCCCACATTGCTAAAGATGGGCAAAATGTTTCCAAACTCAGTTGCATGTAAACATTTTCCTAGTTGTCAGTTTTTATGAATGTTAAGTAAGTTCAAACACAAACGATGATACCAGAGATACTGTGGTTACAAACACTCCTTATTTGTGCGTTAAAAAACAAGCTAACAAACTGAAAGTTAACCTTAGACAAAGAAAAAGAAACTTTCATTTACTCACAAGCATTTTTTGCAGCTGTTCCACTGTTTGGTTAGCCACACTGATGCCATTGATTTCTCGAATTTCATCACCAACATGAAGTGTACCTAAGAAATTACACAAAATTATACACATGAAATGATATATACTTTTATAATAATAAAATCCAAAGGCAGCAATGTGAGTAATTTTAAAAAATTAAGCTAAATATTGAAGGCCAATATTTCAGAAATAGGTACAAGTTTGGCTTAAGTAGTAAACTCCCCAAAACAGATACATCTACTTATGGAAGACACAGTTTTGAAAGATGGCTGTGGAAATCTGCTTATTTTTCTGAGAGAGGCAGTGTGTATAGGGCTTGAAAAGTATAGCTTCTAGATCCAGCCTGTCTGGGTTCAAATCCCAGCTTCAGCACTTACTAGCTTTAAGATCTCGGGTAAGTTCCTAAAAGTCTCTGTGCCTCGGTTTTCACATTTGTAAAATGGAGATGAAAATAGAACCAATCTCAAAGGATTCTTGTGAGGATTAAACGAGTTTAATACATGTAGAAGGTTCAGAACAGTTCTTGGCACATAGTAAGTACCATTTAAGTGTTTCCTGTTATTATTATCATTATTATCTACCAAATACGATACAAAGGCTATTGCTTTTCAAAGAATTGTGACATGATAATACTTACTTATGTAACAAACTTATATTCAACATGCTGCAATCTTTTTATAATACTTTGGTAGGCATTTCAGCATCCTGTAACACTTTTAACTGGAAAAACTGACCAAGAACCAATGCTTAAATAGAATGTCATGTATAATTTTACCTCCTTATTTATAAATTGTGCACATGTTTATATACTGACCTGATGTTATGAAAGCTCACAGTATCTTTTAGAGGCACATTCTAAAATGCATATAAATAAAATAAGACACCTGGGATTTGCTTCAAAATAATTGAGGGGGTGGACAGTTGGGCAAGTATAGATGAATCCAGTGTGGCCATGAATTAACGATAATTCTAGCTGGATTATGGGTATATGGGCGATCGCTGCACTTTTCTCCACTTGAACTCACTATACTGTTCTCTATTTATGTTTGAAAATTAACATAATACAAAAACCCAAATTTGGAGGCTTGTGCTTCCAATACGGCTGATGGGTCGGTCAAAGAATTTCTCACAACTGTATCTTGCCTAGGACACACCTCTTGAAGTGTTACTGGTCTCACAAAAGGAGTGCAAATCCCTAAGAACACTTTCTACTTCCATCTCCACCCTCCCCTTTACGCAAAGCAACCCATGAGCTAGGTCCAGAGTGATGGCAAACTAGGGGTAGAATGAAATAATGGGAAGGGTGAATGCCATAGAAGCAATGCCCGATAGCTGGATTCTGAGCATTGGGCTAACAGAAAGTTAGAGAAGCTGAGCCTAGGATTCTGTGGGGAGCCAAGACCCAGAACAGTGGCACTCTGTGGCAATTGGTAGAACAAGGAACACACCCCCTGGAGGAAAGTGCACCCAGTTTAGGCCCACAGGCCTTCCATTGATCAGAACAAGCAATGAGCCCAAAATCAAAGATCACCAACATACAATAGGCAAACTACTATGCAAGTCATCAGAAACAGGAAAAACAGATTTAGATCCTCAAGGAGGATAGGTACTTGAATGGTCAGATACAGAATATAAAATAGTTATATATTAGATATTAGAAAAAAATAAAGGACCCAATTGCAAAGATGAGCATGCAACAAAAGATTATCAAGAGTAAACAGACAGACTGGAAAATACAAATAAGAACAAATGTCCAGAAAAGAAAAATATAGCTGGTGATATAAGCCAAAGAACAGATGAGTTAAACAGGAGTTCAGATAGAGTTTCAGTGAACTGAAATATACAACCAAATAAATGATCTAGACTGCAGGTCTGAGAAATAACAAAATGAGGAAAATAGGAAACAAGAAATAAAGAAAACAGTAAAACAATATTAAGAGATATGGAGGGAATGCTGAACATACATCTACCTGGAATTCAGAAGAAGAGAATAGAGAGCACGGAGAAGAGGCAATCTTTGAAGAAATAATGGCTGCAAATTTTCTTGAACTGATGAAAACATGATTACAGAGATCCTGGAAGAATAATATGTCCCAAACAGGATAAATAAAAAGAAATCCATGCTGGGAGGTAATGAAACTATAGAACATCAAAGATAAGGATCTTAAAACACCCAGAGAGAAAAGAGAGATCACTTACAAAGCAAGGACAATGGTAGTGATGTCAGAATTCTCAATATCAAACAATGGATGCCAAAAGACAACGGAATGGTTACCATCAACCAAAAATCTCACTCTCAGCAAAAGTAATCTTCAACATTGAGGCTGAAGTAAAATATTTACAACAAACACCACCTGAGAGTGTTTATCAACAAGAGACTAGCACTAAAGGAACTTCTGAGGATGTACTTTAGGAAGAAGGAAAAGTGTTCCCCAATGGATGGTCTGAGATGTGGGAAGGAGTGGTGAACAAATAAAGTCATAAACGTTTCTGTAAATCCAAACAAAAACAATCATATATTTTAATAGTAATTTCAAATTTGTGGATTTAAAGCAGGACAGAACTAGAAAAGAATAATATATAAGTCAGGAGTGTGATCAAATTACTGTTTCAATGTCTTTGTATTCTTTGGGAGTGGGATTAAGACACTGTTTCACTTTACTATATGTAAATTTAAATATGCATGATAAAATTTCAAGGTAACCACCTAAAAAATAGAAATAGAGTGCTGAAATTCTAAACTACCAGTGGAAAAAAATGAAACAAAAACTGAACAAGGAGATCAACTAAAAAATGGAATATAAATAAAAAAGCATGATTATAGAAATCACAATAAATATTAATGGACTAACCTTGCTCTTTAAAATACAGTGATCATCAGGGTGCATTAAAAAATGAAAAACTCAGGGGCCGGCCAAGTGGCTCAGTTGGTTAAGAGCGCAAGCTCTGAGCAATAGGGTTGCCGGTTTGATTCCCACATGGGACAGTGAGAACGTGTGCTTTTAGCAGCAAGGTTGCTGGTTCTACTCCCACATGGAATGGTGGGCTGCGCCCCCCCGCCCCCCTGCAACTAGATTGAAAGTGACGACTGGATTTGGAGCTGAGCTTGTGCCCTCCACAACTAAGATTGAAGGACAACAACTTGACTTGGAGCTGATGGATCCTGGAAAAACACAATGTTCCCCTTCCCCAATTCCCCAACACTGTTCTCTTCCCTAATTCCCCAATAAAAATCTTAAAAAAAAAGGAGAAAAACTCAGCTTTGGAAATGTTTGGAAGAGGCTCATTAAAGCATACAAGCACAGAATGATTGAAAATATAAAGATGAAAGAAGACATACTACCAAAAACTAAAATAAAGCTGGAGTAATGACATTAATATTAGTTAAAATGGGCTTTAAGTAGAAAGTATTATTCAGGATAGAAATGCTTACCAGGCACTTCTGTGCATCTAATAATGCAGCTTCAAATATATAAAGTCAAAATGGATAGAGATCTATAGGTAGAAACTGAAAAACTCTACTATGATAATGAGATATTTCAACAATTATTGATAAGTGAAACAGACAAAAAAATTGTCAAGATATAGAAGATTTGAACAAAAATATTAACCCCAAGCCAATCATCATATAGAGAACTCTGCATATAATTAAAGAATAAACATTCTTCTTAAGTACGCACAGACCATTTACAAAAATGATTAAAATGCTATGCCACAAAGCATGTCTCAACAAACTTCAAAGAAACTGTGTCACACAGACCACATTCTCCGACCACAATGCAATCAAGTTAGAAGTAAATTATAAAAAAATATATAGAAAATCCTCTTAAATGTAGTATGTTAAAAACACTTCTAAATAACTAATGGGTTCATGAAAAATATCATAATAGAAATTTAAAAATACTTGGAACTGAATTACAATAAAAATTCTTCATATCAAAACTGGTGGGATACAGATAAAACAGTATTTAGAGGTAGAATTTAGTCTTAAATGCATGTATTAGAAATGAAGAAAGTCTGCACTAAATGAACGAAGTGTTTAAAAGAAGTTAAATAAAACCAACAGAAAGAAGGGAGGAGATAATGAAAATTAGGTCATAAAAAAATGAAATAGAAAATAAACATACAATTAACAGAATCCAAAGTTGGTTTCTGAACAAACCTCTGGCAAAGTTGATCAAGAGAAAAAGGACAAGGCACAAATAAGCGATATTAGGAATGAACGAGGGGACACAATTACAGAGATGACAGAGACTAAAAAGAGAACACTATGAAGGAGCTTGCTGCAATAATTTTTAAAAATTTAAGATTTTTTGGGCTGGCCGAGTGGCTCAGTTGGTTATGAGCTCACTCAAGTGTGCAAGCTCTGAGCAACATGGTTGCCGGTTCGATTCCTGGCCTGAGCTGAGCTGCCGCTGAGCTTCCAACAGGTGGCAGGATGGCTCAGCTAAAAAAACAAACAAACAAAACCCCCCCCCCAAAAAAACCTCCAAAACAACAACAACAACAAAAATTTAAGATTTTTAAGGAAAATGTAATTTACCAAAATGCACTCAAGATATAGAAAGCCTGAATAGCCTTGTGAATGTTAAAGAAATTGAAGCAGTTGTAAAGAAAATCTTTTAAAACAAAACAAAACAAAAAGAAACAAAACACTAGGCCCCGATAGTTTTATAGGCAAGTTCTACCAAATTTTCAAGATACAAATCATTCCAATATTATACAAAGTCTTTTAAAGAACTCATGAAGAGAAAAGGCCAAGTCATCCTATGAACCCAATGTAACTTTGACATGAAAACCAGACAGAGAAACATAAGAAAGGAAAATTAACTACAGGCCAGTCTCAATCATAATTGCAAATACAAAATCCTCAACAAAACATTAGCACATAAGATGGAGCAGTACACACAAAAGATAATACACAATGACTAAGTTGGGTTTATGTGATAAATGCAAAGGAGGTTTATCATTAGGAAATCTTTCAAAGTCATTTACCACATTAATAGATAAAAAGAAAAAAAAACCCCAAATTGTTATCTCACCACATGCACAGACAAAACTTGATAAAATTCAAAACCCAATCATAATTAAAATGCTCAGCAACTAAGACTATAAGGGCACTTCCTCAGCCCTAATAAAAGGTGTCTAGTAAAAATCTACAGTAAATGTTAGTTTTCGTGGAAAAACATTGGAAAACTACTTTTTAAAAGCAAGAATAGGACAAGATGTCTACTCTACCACTTCTATTAGAGATGGCAGGTTCTAGGCAGTGCAGTAATATAAGAGATTAAAGAAATAATGATATTGAGACTTTACTAAATTTACAGCATATGATGAAAAATAATAAACAAAAAATTTATACTGAAATTTAAAACCAAACATCCTCCTGCATGAGTGCTGTCCACTCCCTACGCCCATAAAGATTGCCCTGAAAGGAGCAATAACGTCAGACACCATCTGTGTACACAGCAGTCATCTCTAAGAGGCCAGGAAGGCACTGAAATGCTTATGGTGTTACTTCTTGCTCTCTGGGGTTAAGGAAAGAGGTGTGAAGCACAAAAATAACCTGTGCTCAAAGAAAGGAAGTCTAATTTTTGGACAGGAGAACCAGTTTTAGATCAGACTCTAAATACCATTGCATGTAACTCAGCCCTTTCTTTCAAAGAGGAGCCTAAGCCTACATGTCCAAATCCTGCCCACCCAAGGCTTAATGAAAGTTCCACTTTCTCAAAAAATCATTCTTAGTCTAGTTCAGTTCTTAGGAATTCCCTCCTCAGAATGACTGTACTTGACTAGCAGGTATTACGGACTTAATCATAGGTCTCATATCTCTTATTTTTTATTTTTATTTTTTTTTAAAGATTTTTATTGGGGAATTGTGGGGATGGGAACAGCACTGTGGAATTGGTGAAGGGGAACAGATAAGTTGCTATCCTTTTGTTCTTCAGTCTAGTTGTGGAGGATGTTGCTTCACTGGCCCAAGTTGGCACCATCATTGCACTCTTCCCGGACGAGGCAGATCAGTCGCCGGCTTCTGGACGGCTGCTCACTGCGGCTGCTGGCCGCTCACGCTGGCTGCTGGCTACACATGGTAGCCCATGGCAACCCACTGCCACAGGGGCTGCAGCCTACACCGTAGCAGGTGACACAGCCCAGCTCCATGTTGAGCTGTTGTTCAGCATCTTAGCTGTAGAGGGCAGTGTCACTGGCCCTCATATGTGGGATCCGAACCGGGGCCCTCTGGCGTCCCAAGCCAGTTCTTAACCATCGCGCCACTCGGCCGGCCCTCATATCTCTTATTTTACCATTGAATTTTTATATTTTTAGTTATCAAACTCTAATTTCCTAATTTATAAATAGTATATCGTGTTCCCAAATGGATGAGAGAGCAATTCTTGAACTGTCATTTAACTTTTTAAATATATACCTATATCCCAGAATAGATAGATGTCTTACATATATCCTGGGGCTCAGTAGGGTACTTGACTGTATCCTCCACGGTCTCTACTAAGTCAGGATCTAAACAGTGATTCAGAGACGCCCCAGCAACAGAACTGTAATACACCCTCCCTCCATTATCTACAGGCTGGAGCATGTGCAGATGAATAACAACTGGAGGCCAACAGTGATGAAAACCAAAGATAGATCATTTATATGGAACATAAATTTAACAGGTCTTTTATATGGATCATAAAAATCACTTTCTCCACTAGGTTACAGGGGAAAAAAAGTTAAGAAAGGAGAGAAAGAATTATATATGAAACTTACCTTGCCTGTGAATCATGCCCCCATGCATAATTCTTGCAACAATACAATGATTTAGTTCATTCATTTTCAAAGTGATTCCCTGTAAAAAGTTAAGGAAAATCAGAATTACGATGAGATGGTACTTGTTTTTATACTTGTGATTTTGCTGTAGATAATTTTAATTACAAAAGTTAGGAAAACAGTACAGAAAATATGGGAAGTGGAGGAGAAAGCCATTGCTCCACCATGCCATGACAAAATTATTTTTGGTATTTTGATTGCTGTAATAATAGTAATCTTTGATTAGATGCCAGATATTATGAATTTTATCTTGTTGCATGCTAGATGGTTTTTTATTCCTATAATTATTCTTAAGCTTTATTCTGGGACGTAGTTCAGTTACTTTGAAATAGTTTGATCCTTTCGGCCTGGCTTTCATGATTTGTTAGGTAAGTCTGGAGCAATTCTCTGTGTGGGGCTAATTTTTCCTCATTACTGAGGCAAAACCTTCCTAAGCACTCTATACAATGTCCCACAAATTGGTTTTTCCAGTTTGGTGGGTGGAAACAGGCAGTCAGTGTTGGATACTGTTCTCTCTAATCCTGTTGGGTGGTCTTCCCTTGGCTCTGGGTGGTTTTCTCTCATAAATGTGCTGATCATTACTCAGAATAATACCTGAAGGGTCCTCTATAGATCTCTGGGGTTCTCTCTCTGTGCAGCCCTCTCTTCTTCAATACTCTTTCCCATGAACTTTAGGTGCCCTGGTCTCCCCAGACATTTGGTTCTGTCTCCTCAGTTCAGGGAATCTGTCTGCCCTGCCTCAGTTCCCCCTCTCTGTGACAGGGCCTGGAAACTCTCAAGTCAGTAAGGTGGGACAATCAGAGGGTTCATCCTGTTGATCTCTGTCTCTTAGGGATCACTGTTCTTTGTTGCCTGATGTTCAATGTTTTGAAAACTGTTCTTTCATGTAATTTCGTCTGTTTAAAAATTTTTTTTGGTTGTTTCAGGTGAGAGGGCAAATCTGGCCAGAAGTGGAAGCTCCACATATTTAATGCCAGAAGACTATTCTATGGAATAGATAACTTTTGGTTTTCTAATTATTCGTCATTACGAGTATAAGACAAGCTTTCATGAACATATTTTTTTGCACTAGACCTGGTTGATTCTAAGAATCACATGGGGGCATTTTAAATAATACTGACTTTTAAACTCACTCTTTGGATTTAGATTCAAGAAGTCTAGAATGGAGCCCAGAAATGTACATTTTCAATATGTGCTCTTGGTGAAAACTGCCCTTGAATTTGAAATGATTAAGGGTAGGGGGACTCTGTCTTATCTTCTTCATTGGAGAATAACACTCTGTTAGAAAGCAGCATGAAAATACTTGATATTTCATAATCTAGACTCTGTCTGAATTTGTACAATTCTACAAAATATAACTTTGCATGGTTCCTATTTTGTAGTTCTTAGAAGTGGCAGGCAACACTTGTTTCATTTCCAACTTGCACATTCAATCAGCACGTATGGTTACCAAGAGAGTTGTTCCTGGAAAAATTCTGTAAATTAATGTGTAATTTCATAAGGGAAATGATAGTACAATGGGGGTTCCATCCTTGAAATTAATAAATCAGTGTATTCATTCAGCCAACATTACTGCGAACCTTTATGTGGCGTCCTGCTAGGCACAAGTGAATGAGACAGGCAGGGTCGCTCATGGCTAGGGTAAGTTCACCTCAAACCAACTGGAGTTAACAATCATCATTTTGTCTGCCGCAGACATTTCTCATGCTCTCTCTGTCCCCAAGTCCCCAAATTCTAGGGCAAAGATTGGCCCAGCTTGGGTTGGGTGCCTACTCCTGAACCTACAATCTCAGCTTGGGGTGAACGCCGGGCCACTCCTTGCTTACATAAGTCTTTCTCTGATTCTCTAAGCTAGTGTAAGTTTGGTCTTTATCACTTTCAACTTAGAAAGTTCCAATCAATAGAGAAATGATTGCAAGTGCGATGTTACAAATGGGAACACAACGGTGCAATGGGAGCACATCACCCTTGAGGGGTGGGCCTGGCACAGTTGGACACATTGTAGAAGTTCCAAAAAGCAAAAAGAGATCATATGGGTGTATCTTGCATAGTAATATAATGCTTTTAATAAGACAACTAAGCAAGCAAATGAAGCTGTAGTAAATGTAACAGAGAACTATATTATTGAAGATACATATATTTTCCATAAAATAATTCCCATTTTTATGGCAACCAGTCAGTAGGAGAAGAAATGCACACCTTTACTAGGATCATAGAAGACAGAAGAGAGAAAGGCTTCTTTAAGGAGACTTATAGGGGAGATTCAAGGCCATTTGATACTTTCTGGAAAAAGTAACTCAGGGATGTACAATAGTTTTATGCTTTTCCTCAGTATATGTTTCTATGGAGTCAGTCTTCATACAAAAGGCCAAGCAGCTGTCACTGGGCTCCTTTAGAACATTATGATCACAAGAAATTTCTGGGCCACCTTCTTGTAGTCAATTTCACCTTCCTGTCTGCTTTGCTTGGCTGATCACCCCTTCTTCCTGCCTCTGACACAGCCTTCTCTCCTCTATAGCTCTGTCATAACTGTTCTTGTTAAACACACTGTACTAACCTGCTTATTTGCTTGTTTGATGTAGGCAGCCCTGTGGAAAGTGAGCTCTGGGAAGGACCCATTTCTTATCGGCCACTATGTCACTGGCATCTAATATAGGTATCTGCACACAGTAGGCACTTAACAAATATTTGCTAAATGAATGAATGACTATATAAAAATGAATGAATATTAGACTTTCAGAGCTGGGCGGGATCTTGGGGATTTTTTAATCAAGTATGCTTTTGCCAATACATGCTAAGCAAAATATGAGCAAACTCAGGCCCACTGACATGAAATGATTTGCCCAAGGAACCCCAAAGCTGCTACTGCCAGTGCTCTTATGTCAAAGATTTGCTTGGAGAGCACCAGAAGGGCTGAGGTGATTTGCATGTCCCCTGCCTGCGACAAATGCTGGGATAATATAGTATAATTGGCAAAGAACAGTAAATAAGAATTACAACTGGAAATGTCTACAGTTGAGGGCTCTCTGGAAATCGCAGTTATAGAATCCCTGCTCTGTAACTCTTCCTTTAATGTGGAGAGCAACTGGGCAGCTTTCTTAAGTAGGTATTTGTTTTTCTGTATCCCAATATCTCCTTCCTATGCTCTGAGGAAAAGATACAAATGCATTAAATTTGAATTTTTTTCCACAAAAGATATGATTCCTCCTCCAAACTTAGAACTTTCCCAACATTCCCTGTCCCAGTAGGTAGCATCGTTGTCTATCCAGTTGTGAAAACCTAGAGTTTAGGGTCATCCTTGATAGTTGCTTCTTCCTCATCTCCACTGTCAATCCATTATCAAGGTCTATTGATTTTACTCTTTTGTTAAATCTATTCACTTCTTTCCGTTTGGTATCCATCCCTCTAGTTCCCAGTTCCATCATCTCTCCCCTGTATTACTACATTAACAGCCTCTTAACTGATCTTCCATACCCACTCTTGTTCCCCTCTAATCCATTCTCCAGAGTCATTATTTCTCAAATAAACATCTGATCTTATCTTCTTGCTTAAAAATCTTCAGTAGCTTCCTGATGATATTAAGATAAAGAACAGAATCCTTAACATGTCTTTCAACATTCATGTGGTCCTGTTCCTGCCACTCACCTTGTTTTCTACAGTCCAATGGTGGTGGTGCCTTCCTTTCATTTTGAAACGATGTTAAGAGTCTTTTTACCACCAGGTTTCTGCACATGCTACTTGGTTTGCCTGGACGGTCTCCACTCCGCCCTACCCACCCAGCACCCTGCTTCTGTTCAGTTAACATCAAAAAGCCTTTCTTTGATCTTCCCAATCTGTTAATTCTATGAGAATGAGGTAGGGGTTAGCATCAATTCTATTCCAACGCTCTTCCTAAGCACTGAGAAAATTCATTCATAGATGTGAATGGAAGGGATTTTATTTCAGCAACGTTACTCAACTCTTTTAATGCATTCCAAATTAGTCTTCCTCTAATTTTATTGAAGGCAAAAGATCTGGAAACCACGAGACTTATAAAAGGATGTTTTTTTACAATGTCATTGGACATGCACTTTTTCAACACTAATACCAATATTTCAAATTGTCCCTTTTTTTGCTGCCCCAGCGGTTTTCACACTCTGGAGTAAAGTACCAGGTCTGTCTGTCTGTCTGTCTCTCTCTTTTTGGTAAAGTTGAAGAGCAATTGTGAAAGGCAAGGTGGGGAGGCGAACCAACGTGCCTGTGACGTCAGCACAACAATTATGGGTGGTGGTGGTGGTGAAATGAGGATGTGGGAACTGATTTCTTTAAAACTACCCATGCCCTCTTCCCCTCCCCACTTCCTAGTGGTATAGGTTGAAGTTAGCTGCTCTAACTCATGCTGGGATTTTACAAGAGTATGGAAAACATTTTCTTTTCCTACTCACCATTGGTTCATCTGTGTTCTTTTGGAACTGGACCAACCGAACTCTGGTCACATTCTCCATATCCATGTCTCCGTTGGCACTTTCTGGAGAATCACCATTTAAATAGGGAGAGGTGGGAGGAGGTGTGACCCTCAATGCTTCATCACTGTAAACTTCATGTGCCACTACATCGTGAGTCTGAAGTAAGGCCTGGTATTTTATGAAGGAAATAGAATATCAATAATAGTACTATTCTAATAGTACTCTATTAGAAATCTATTATATGAACATATACAAAATTATTCTTTACCTCTCAAAGTTATCTCTCACCTACAGAGAACTCAAACCACATTATACCAGATACAACCATATCCTGATTTCTTTGTGACAAATAATCATGACAGATGGATTAAAAAACTGGATGAACAAATGAGTGAATGAGGAAATCAATGAATAGGTGTGTTTGTTGATTACCTGGGTTAGAGGTGTTGTCTGATGCTATGAAAAAGTACCAACTAACTTGCTCAAATAAAGGGTGACATAACGCAATTTAAAATAATTTAGCAGAAAGAATCATCTGTAAATACAGGTGGCAAATTTGTGCTGGGCCCTATAATGGAAACAAATTTAAAAAGAACCAGTGCAATAATTTGTGTATTGAGCAAATATCTTTCATTGCTGGCATTAACAATAACTTTTTCATATAATTCAAAGGATGAACAGAATTTATAACATATGACTTAGTAAAAGAAATAAAAATAAAACACAAGTATACCTGAAAAAATACAATTTTCCACAATATCATATACGATATGGAGCTCAAAATCTAAACCTATTTAATATTTTTATTCATTTCTATATTTTGGAGCACTTGACTAAATGAAAAATAAGTTGACAATTATTATGACTTCTTTTTGCAAAGCCTGTTAACAAACATAAAGTGATTTCTTTGTATTGATATCTGCATATGTCATCTCGGTGAAACTGGGTAACAAATATCCCTTGTTTCCCTAAAAAAGGATATTCTTCCACTTACTATACTTTTGGTGCTAACACAAAAAGTTTTTAATAAGCATGAATATTTGAACATTTGTACTTCAAAGAGAATTTTATTGCTGAATATCAGTATGTTTGGAGCTTTATACAGATTATATTTTCATGTGTTTCTATAAATTCAGTTTAATCTGTGATCTATGTGGTAATGAAATATCTAGAGATAATGAAATGCAATTAAAATTGCTTTAAAAGTATAATTAGCATCTCAAATTAACTTATTTAATTAGAAGGTTTATCAAAGTTATGACTTGGCTATTTTAATTGTAAAGGCATACATATGCGGCAAAAATAAAGTAACAATGCAGTAAAATCGTAAAGCAGATGATGATGGGGCGGCCGGTTAGCTCAGGTGGTTAGAGGGCAGGCTCATAACACCAAGGTTGCTGGTTTGGTTCCCACATGGGCCAAGGAGTTGCGCCCTCCACAACTATATTGAAGACAAGTACTTGACTTGAAGACAACTACTTTACTTGGAGCTGATGGGTCCTGGAAAAACACACTGTTCCTCATACAATTTCTTAAAAAAAAAAATAAAAAGAAGATGGTGTTGATTTGTCATCAATATAGCATATTCTTGGAGCAGTATATGCATTTGGGTTTCTAATGAAATGGCAGGCATTTCCAAGATCTCAGAGGGCTGGTCTAAACTGGGGTCTGGGTGAGGGGCACCGAGGGGCACTAAGCAATGCAGCTGGAGAGCAGGGCTCCACAATGGCCCTGGGGTCCTTGGTTTCCTGACCGTTGCCTGACTATACCCTGCGCTGGTACCCCAAGTCCAAGTGTAGAGGTTGTGCTATGTGGGTAAATCCCTCTTTTTCTGGTTTAATTTTGGCCACTTACGAGACTAAAATTTAGGGTAAAAAGTAAAAATCAATAATAGACAAATTGAAAAACTTCATCTGCTAAAATGATGTTGACTGTATCGACTAATAGCTGTGTCTTCCATACTTAGTGAATTTAAAAAACCATGCTTCGTATGACTGGAGGACATATAGCCAGGTAAACAGAGAACCAAGCTTTCATCAGGTTATGATGACAGTTACATGGGTTGGAGAAAGTGTTTACGCTGCTTTTTACAAATGATTTCTATTCATCCTTTTAAATATATAAGCAAACACTTGTATCTAATATATCACTTATAAGCAAGAATAAGCCCACTATCACCAAATAATATCTCAATTGAACTTTAAAAAAATGCTCAGCTTATGTCACCAAATAAGGTCATACTTAATATTAACCACAATTTGCCATGGTAAAAGACAGCTACCACAAAATAAAATTTAACCTAAAGCTCCAATGCGTATGTGAATAGAAAAAAAAGTGGGTCATTTAAGGTTGTTTAAAGAACCCATTAAAAATGAGTATGCCCACTAAAAAATAGGAAAATCAAAAGTTTGAATAGTTGCTTCAAGAACTATAAAATACTTAGGAATAAATTTAACCAAAGAAGTAAAAGACCTGTACTCTGAAAATTATAAGACACTGACAAAGAAATAAAAGAAGATACAAACAAATGGAAAAACCTACCATGCTCATGGGTAGGAAGAATTAATAGTTAAAATGTCCATACTGTCTAAAGCAATATATAGATTCAATGCAATTCCTATCAAACTACCTAGGGCATTTTCCACAGAAATAGAAAATATAATCCTAAAATTTATATGGAACCAAAAAAGACCCCGAATAGCCACGGAAATCCTGAGAAATAAGAACAAAGTAGGGGGCATCACACTACCAGACATTAAAACGTACTAAAAGGCTACAGGAATCAAAACAGTAGTATGGTACTGGCATAAAAACAGGCACATAGATCAATGGAACAGAATAGAGAGCCCAGAATTAAATCCAGGCATATACGGGCAGTTAGTCTATGACAAGGGAAGCAAGAATTTACATTGGGGTAAAGATAGTCTATTTAACAAACGGTGCTGGGAAAATTGGACTGACACATGCAAAAAAATGAAACTGGACCACCTTCTTATGCCATATACAATAACAAATTCAAAATGGATTAAAGACTTAAATATAAGACCTGAAACCATAAAACTCCTAGAAGAAAATATAGGGTCTAAATTTGCAGACATTACCCTGAACAATATATTTTTTAAAGTTTTTAAATTTATTTTTTAATTTTTTATTTTTTTAGC